ACAAAGTTTAAATAAAAACAGCAAAGAAATAAAAATATATATAAGAAAAAGGGAAAAGATTATCCCTTTTAGTTAATATTTTGTTTATACTGAACTACCAAAATCTTCTGTTTCACTATCACCACTGTCACTGGATGCAAGTGGTAGAAAATGTGGTTAAGGTGCGTCCAGAGATGGAGTAAGGTCCTTACCAATGTGGCCCCCGTTCATTATTTACATAGAAATGGTTAATAGGGCCAAGCAAATACATGGTTTAGGGGCTCCTGTCTAGCCCTTGGGCCTTTGGTGGTCACTAGTGATGTCCCGAACGGTTTGCCGCGGACGGCGAACATATGCGCTGTTCGGTGGGCCCCCTGTGTCATCATTGAGTAAACTTTGACCCTGTAACTCACAGTCAGCAGACACATTCCAGCCAATCAGCAGCAGACCCTCCCACCATCTCATTTTACATTCATTGTGAAGCTGCATTCTTAGTGAGCTGTCCAGGAGATGGGAGGGTCTGGGAGGGAGGGTCTGCTGCTGATTGGCTGGAATGTGTCTGCTGACTGTGAGGTACAGGGTCAAAGTTTACTCAATGATGACGAATGGGGGGCGGACCGAACAGCGCATATATTCGCCATCCGCGGCGAACCGTTCGGGACATCACTAGTGGTCACCATTGGTCGCCTTGTAGTGAAAGAAACACTATAACATTAGGAATTCAAAAGTGTATTCCTAACAGTGGTGGATCCGGGGTTAACGGTGCAATCCCCCTCTTCCCCCCGGGAAAATAGTAAAGAGCAGAGGCTCTCCTACCCGCCATGCTCTGTGCCATCACGGACCGGAGGGGAGATCAGAGATCTTCCTCAACTGAAGTGGGGCAGGAGAGGGAGAGAGGACCTGGGGGAACTCTTGCCTTCAGCTCCGCCATGTCCACACCTCGCGAGATCGGAGCATTGCAGCGGGTTTGTGTGTAGTGTTGCTGTTGAATGCAGGTGTGTACTTGTGTGTCTTGTTGGTATTTGAACGCAGGGATGCATTTACATATACACACACACTGCCATGCACAAAGACAGCGCACCCTGCCATAGAGACCCACAGATGCACGCACTCCTACGCACACATAAACACGTACACTGCCACATGCACTGCTATATACACACATACACACAAAGCTCCACACATGCAGAAAAAACACAATGACACACACAAACAGTCCCAGACACACAGATACATTCACTGACACACATTTAAACATACACCAAAAATACGTCTGTACTATGATATATATGCCAAGTAGCAGATCTAGACCTTCATGCCCAATCTCCTATAAACCATGATGTTGTATGGAACCTCTCCTTTGTTTCTCTCTTTTACCTATTTTATTTAATCCCAATAGAAGATGGAGAATTATTTTTGATAATCCTTAGTACTTTCACATCAATATATATTTTCTCCCATTAGACTTATCACTCACTGCATTTACATGTATCCTACCAAAGAGTCTCTTGCACTTTCCAATGCTGATAGAGTTAGTGACACTCTAAAAGTTGACACAATACTTATATACTCAGAGCCAGGTCTAATGGCTCTGAATAAGGTGAGCAAATCTCTGTGGTAGTGTGAATCTTTATCTATTGGATGCTTGAATACTACACCTAGATTTTATCTGTTTTGGAAATTGGAGAACTAGAGGTCTGGTTGACACCTGAAAAGTGCACACAAGCTTATTGTTTAGAGCATAGGTCATCAGCCTGGTCCCTACAGCCCACTAGTGGGCGTTTCAGGATTCCAGGTGGGCGGTAGGGGGCTCTGCAGCACAACAAGCTGCATCCTCCTTCCATCGAGAGAGTGGGCGGGCGCGAGTGCACAAATGCACATGAAAGCACGAACGCGAGCAAACTTGTGCGAACACGAGAATGTGTGCACCGAACAAGAGAATGCATGCATGCGTGCGCGAACGCGTGAACGTGCCAACACAAGCAAGTGTAACATGTGGGAAGAGGAAGGGGACGAGTGGGAGCTGATGCATGATAGCAGGGACAGGCAGAAGCGGAGCAGAGCAGTTGTGAAATAGGAGAAAGAAAAGTTGTAGGCAGGACAAGGAGAGAACTGTTGATCAAAAACATTTTTTAAAAAAGGGAAGAAAAATAGAAAAAAGGGGATACAATAAAGGAGGAGAGAAAGCAGTGTTTAGAGTGGCTGATGTTTTGGCAAGTTAAGTTTTGTTATCTTATAAAAGAAAGAAATAAGGAATGTAAGTAAAGGAAGGAGAAGGAGAGAATAAAGAGAAAGGGAAAAGGAGACCCCTGATATACTGATATAATATAAGGAAGGTAAAGAAGAAGAAGGCAGGAAAAGCAGCAAAAGAAAAGGGAATTTTGTTTTATGGTGATGCGTAATAAAAATTGGCAGCTAATACAGCGTTGTTTTTGGTGTTTGTAATAAAAGAGAAAAGAGGGGTGGGGGGAGCACTGTGTGGAGTGCAGATCAAAATGTGGTAAGAGTAAAAGTAGTTGTTAAATTGTGCAACAAATTTAGAACCCACGTCTGAAAAAAAAGAAATATACTCGTGGCTATTTACCAGAGTATCTGAAGACACTTGCGCTAAAAAGTTTGAGTTACTGCAGCATTGGTGGGCGGTAAGGAAATTTTACCATCAAGAAAGATGCATTATTGGGCGGTTGGTATAAAAAGGTTGACAACCCCTGGTTTAGAGTATTGGTGTTTAATGCTTCCCTGGGCCGCATTGAGCACAGAGGGATTGTCTTGGGCTGCACATAAAAGCTAAAATATAATTCATTTATATAATAAAACTTCAAAAGCACCTTTTTTTAAATTTGTTTAGTAGATAACCCCCTTATTTGTTATCCTTATTAGGGATTGCCATATTTCTGGATACCAACTTAGGGAGGTATCTACTAAACACACACACACGTATATACATATGCACACATAACCACACATACACACACACAATCACAGACACATGCGCATACAATCATAGACATATACACACAATCACAAAGTCAGATACATACACACACACACACATAATCACAAATGTACACACAGACATATACACAATCATAGATTCACACACACACATACAATCACAGACCTATACAAGCAATCACAAATATACACACGAACACAGACCTATACAAACAGTCACATACATACACACAGACATACACACATAATCACAGACCCACACACACACAATCACAGACCCCCACACACATACAATCACAGATCTATAAATACAGCCACATACATAAACACATAATTACAGATGTACACACACAATCACATACCCAAACACACACATACAATCACATAAATAAACAATCACAGACCCCCACACACATGCAATCACAGACCCATACACACACATGCAATCACAGACCTATACACACGCAACAAAAACAGCTCACTGCAGGCCACACAAAGGTGCTGTCCAGAAGGATTACAGTATGTATGGGGTCCCTGCCTCCCTCCGCCCGGCACCATGAACGGCAACCAGCCTGCGGGTTTGACACCCCTGGTTTAGAGCCTATATCTGAAAAAGGTTCTATAAAGTGAGTTTGGATAAGATACATATAACATCAGATTCCATATTTTCTCAATATTACACTATTTCTGTGTTTTGTCTTATTTTTTTTCCATATAATCTATAGTAATTATAGGCAAGGTTCCAGGACAGTATGACATGCTTACAAACAATACCAATGCCTGTTATTGAATACTCAAGTACTCTGGTACCCATTGCCTGTATGTCCCTGTGTAAATGATGGATAACCATCTGCATGTTGGCAGGGGACTACACTTACTACATACAATTTTTTTATGTACCCTGAGCAGTTTATTCTCTGCCATTGTGGGACACCATAACTTAAGGGGTCCGCTTATGCTGGGTGACCAGCAGGAGGGGAGCGTTGTGTTGTGCTGCTCCCCTCCTGCCACTGTCTGTAACATGGCTGGGCGGATCAGTCTGACAGGAAGTGCTCACTGAGAGAACACCTTCCGTCAGATGGGTACCATGGATGTGAGCAGGTACAGGAGGGGAAGGGGAGGGAATAGGACACATGAGGATGCTGGGGGGGAAACGGAATGAAACACATGGCGGGGCTGGGAATAATACACATGGAGGGGAGGAAATAATGGACATGGAGGGGAGGGAATGACACACATGGAGGGGGGAAATGAGATGCTTACAGGGACTGGGGTGACACACCTAGAGGATTTCGGGGATGAGAAACATTGAGGGACTAGGGGGAGGGAATGAGACATATGGAGGTGTTGGAGGGGCGGATGAGACACCTTGAGAGGCGAGATACATCGGGGGGGGCAAGGCAATTTTCACACCGGGGGCATTGTGGTTTCTAGTTACGCCTCTGCGTGGATGGGTATCTATAGGGCAAAGGTTAGGTAGTCAGGCAGTGCTTTACTACTCATTGACATCTCCAGTAGTACCAAACATGAATGGAATGCCAAACAGTGAAAGACCGGTGATTATCCCGAGCATTTCACAACCCTGTTTCTGCAATCAGTCAGTTATTATATCTTCCAGAGTTATTATTCTTACATTCTGTTACCATCCTCATACCTGCGGCAAGCCCCCTGGATATGCCCTATAGATTAGTAAAAAATAATTGCTAGTTTTCACAGTTTTCTGCACAATCCTTAAGGTTTGGTATTTTATTCAGGCTCATCAAAACATTATCCTCACTAAGGGCTATCAACCTCTAGGTTTATGTCATGCCTCATTACAATTAATCACTATATCCATTACTTTCCTGGTTTGAGTCAAAAATGCAAACATAGTATATAGAATACATTTTTTATTCTCATTTATATATGACAGGTCCACTTTAAGAATGGTCACCTGTGCATTTACCTTGAAGAAAAACCATGTATGTTGTCAGCCTGTGTCTATTAATAACTCCACAATGCTTAGAGTGCAGAATTACTTGTCCTGCAGCTACAGATACATCAATTTAACGTCACAAGAGGTGAGCATCAGATTTACAGTACGCACATAGATTGCTGACTAACCCTTTCAGGCCCAGCATACTTTAACAATGCTAGGTGCACTGACTGTGAAAAGGATAATAATTCAGAATAAAGTGACGCAAATCCTAGCACAAAAATAGTATACATCGCTACACGTCAAATATTATCTGACAGGATTATTTGCATAACTATCAATTGTCCAGATTTCACAGGAATTTCAAATTTGGATGACAATAGCTGATCTGAAAAAAAAACCTCTAAGTCAGCAGTATTTCCAGCTTATCTATTGTGCTAGCTCATCTGTATTTTCACTGCAAATTCTCAACAATCAAAGGAACACTCCATACACCATAAGCACAACACACTCTCTCACTTGCAGCCTCCTCTCAACAGGGAACTCTAAGCTCTGAATTAAACGTGACAGTGCAGAGCTTACCTCATTCATTGAGAACAATCCGCAATCAGGAGAGCTAACTGAAGCTCCTAAGCAAGAGCTTTCCCAGATCTCTTGAAGGATAAGAGAGTTACATGGCAGACCCCTAACTACTTACACTGGGGGGGAGGTAATAGTGCGATATAGTGATTATGGTGCCAGAGTGTTCCTTTAATGATTTAGCAAATAAATATTCAAAATATGTCTGATCTGGCACTGAGAATGGTGAGCATTAGACTTCATAACATCAAAAAATAAATATGAAAAAGTGTCCAGAGAACTTCCTCAATTTTTACAAATATGAAATAAAGGAATGTGCATGCACATCACCGCTTCCTAATTTGGAAACCTAAGGCCCTATAGTTGGTACTATCATACCAAGGCAAGGGACTCTCTGGATACTTTAGTGGATTAATACTGATAATATTACATCCTTTTCTTTGTTGTGGAAAGTAACATTCAGCTCTAGCTACTCAACATGGCAGGTGCCCAGTGGTCTCCTCAACCACTTGTAGAACCAGAAGATGTTAGCTACTATAGCAAGTGGAATCAGAGTTCTCAAGGCCACACACCTATTAATGACACATACTCTGCCCATGGTCATTTATTTTTCTGTATTTTCTTACTGTTCAGCACACAGTGCTGTTTAGCTCCTCACCAAGCAGTGGTACATGACCCACATATGTGGAAGTGAATAACACAATGCATATATACACATTATTTGCAGGTATAAAATATTTGTTTAAAACCCTCTATCAATCACTGTTTAAAGTGGATCTGTCATCTACAATGTACCTTTCTCCTATTGTTTCATCTTCTCTTCCTCTTTCCCAATAAGATTACTTATTTTCTTAATTTCTGATCTATTGCTCATTAAAACATAAAATAAAGTAGGGACTACTGTGTCATGTATTTTTCCTACGTTTGACAAAAGTGACAAAAAAGTGTAGCTTAGTCAAGCTCCGCTTCCTTTGTCACAAATAAATCTCCCGTAGTGCTCACCTCTATGTCCTGACCTTCCTCCATTGTCTTGCGAGATCTTTGTGCGTCATTTCTACTGATAGTAAACTTGGGATATTCGTCCATTCATCTGAAAGATGAATGAACGAATATAAATTACAACAACTGAAACAAAAAACAAATTGCTCATGGACAAAATTTAAACGGTGCAATTCATTTACAGCTCCCTCCTTGTTACATTTTAAAATCAAGCCTCTCACTCAACGGGAGCCAATATCACCCCCATATTAGAGGTAACAGATTAGGGCTATAAAAAAAAAAAGGAACAGGAGAGCATAATGTCCCCTAGCCTCTACCTATTGATGACTGCATTGGCAACAGGTTTGGGCTCAAAATACTAATGTGTGAGTGCTCTGACAGGTAAATCTTGAGACTTTCAGTTAAATTCAAGAATTACTTATCAGAGCACTTTTATTGGTTGGCATAAGCAAACCAGTCAAAGCGCTCTGAGTCAAATTTCACGGCATGGTAAAGCTTCAAAAGACTTTCCCGTCCTGCGAACTCAGTATAAGCAGAGCCCTCGTAGGGTGAAGATGTTTGATTTTTTTTCATCAGGATATTTTTCGGTGTGTTTTTTTTTTTTTTGCGATTGGGTCCTGTGGTTTGTGCTCCTAGATGTTTGGAGCAACCTACCACCAAGTTTCTTACAAAACTGCGTGCAAGTGTAAGAATTTACTTAATATTTGTTTGATTTAGAATTTTCTTCTGTTCACTCACTTTGTATTCTGTAAATTGATAAAAAAATAAATAAAATAAAACTATTAACATTTAGATTTTTGAAAGCATTCTTACATTGCAGCACCTGCCTAAAAACATTGCACACTAGTGTATCTTTCTGTCTTGGTTATTTTGGGGGGGGGGAGGAGTTGGAGATCCCTGGTTAAGTCTAACAATTTCCGGTTCAGTTAATACCCTGCCTGTGTCTCCAACTTTGCTTAACATCTTGAAATTGCTAATACATAATTCATTAATAGATAATTGCATTTTACTGTTGAATAGTAACTTTTTATCATTTACGAGTCAACGGACTGGGGACAGAAGTCCAACACGATTACACTGAAGTAACATATTTAAGTTAGACTTGTTTTCTATGATGTGAGTAGATTAGACCCTGAGTTCCACCACATTTACTTCATTCCACCAAAATAAACTACAGACTCCTTTTCTTCTTAAAATGTTTATTGTACTCAATTAACACATGCAATACGTGTCAATGGCTCTGTGTTGTTTCAACAAATACATAAATCCTTTCCTCTTTTACAATAATGTAACAACAAGCAGCATTTCATGGTGGTCCTATGGACAATAATACAGCAGCTGTGTTTATACTGTCACCATACATCTCCTGGGATAGTGTGTTCACCCACACAACTCCGCTACATTGAGAACAAAGCATTCACTTACAGTTTACAGCTGTATACAGGAGATTGAAATACGGGCAGCAACATATATATATATATTTATATATCTATATCACTAAGATCACATTTAAAAATAGTGAATCTGTTAAACCCTTTCATTAATGAGGGAGTTAAAAGTGCGGTCCCATTTTGGTTTTATTCATTGGGGTAGGTTTTTTTTTTTTTTTACAAAGCTTTGAAAAATGTTTTTTATTCTCAAACAGTGCTTTTCATTGGTTCATACATTTTGTAGATCTGTGTCTTCTACCTCTAGACTTCAAAGTTCCCTGGCAATGTAAATCTCCAGAGATTCTTTCTAACAACACAGACAGGTCCATCAGCCAAGCATTCTTGCAGACAGTTGCGCAAATGCTAATCAAAGGCCACCTGTTTATAAGGACATCATCTTACTGGTTCAAGTCGAAGGTGGACTAGAAGGGCAGAGCTGGGAACAGGAAAGGAGGATAAAACTCAAGGAGTCATTCAACAAGTTTTGCCATACTAAAAGAATTGTGTATGTGTGTTGCTTCTCCACTACTGCATGCAACCAACATAGTGTCCAGGCTGAAATTGAAGAAAGTGGGGGGGGATTAATTGACAAGTACCATAAATCCCCTCCAGTTAATTAAAATTAAATGGACGGCCATATCTGCTCTACACTGAGGCATAACTATTCCATATACAAAGCAGACATGTTGGGGACTAAGGGGTACAGTGTTCATGTTAAAACTATAATGGTCTCCGGACCCTTCATGAGCTATCATTGCTCCTCCATTCTCTTTTTTTAAGGTTGAGCAAGGTGGGGGATGAGGGTTCGTTGACAGAGAGAGAGCTGGCTTGCAAACTACCTTTTCACTATGACTGCCCATCAACTCTGTTCCACTCTTTAGACTACTTTATGCAGAAAGTATATAAGCATGAGGCTACCGCATCATGGCTTGATTGAGGAACATCTACTACATATGCATAATTAAAATGTTGTATTGGTTGACATAAATCCCTGAAATGTGTAATTTTTGTATTCTTCCCTAAATCATTTAAAGATCTGGCTTTGACAAATCCTAAGAAAGCCCACACGTTTACGATTCCCGACCATCACAATGACAATATGGCTCTTAGAAAATATTTTGGCACAATTGTTGAATGGCTCCATAACTGGTTTATTTACTAAGCAGTCTTCATTCGCTAAGAATTGCAAAGAGACTTAAAAAATTAGACCAAAAAGAAAATTTTATATATAGTTTGTAATATAGTTCGTATCACTATTAGCATAATTATCCCTTAAAAAAAAAAAAAATCTGATTTTTTAAACCAATCCAACTACTAATGCTGGGTATGGAGCAGCTACTCTTAAGATTTCAGAGGGTTACTTAAATGAACACTTTGTGGAAAAGAGCTTATTAAACGGTACAGCCCAAACTGTTTTGGTTTATTTAATTGCAAAAATGTGATGGACAGTATACTAGTCAATAAGGATACAGGAAGAAGACCTGCAGCTTTGAGATTGTATCGTTTATCAGCACTTCACATAAAATGCAGCACAAAAAAGCAAGATAGTGCCCCAATAAAACATGTTGTAATGGTTTTATCTATATATATTAAAAATATTTTACCAATAGGACTCAAAGCATCTAACTGGACTGAAAAAGCTAAAAAAACAAATTCTCCTTATTATTTTTGTGTGTAAAGGATTTCATTATTTGTGGTCTTATATTAAAAAAAATATTTCACAGTGTATAAAGTATGTGTTTTATATATATAGTAGGCCTTTTCATCACAGCTTTGCTTCATAAGGCCAATAAATGAAAATGGGTAGGAGGGGATTGAATAATTCCAGGTTTTAAACTTTTAAATTAATATCACACAAAATACATATAATAATAACAATAATAAGAAAGTATCTAACCAGGAAAGGTACATTCAGATTGCTCTGGTTTTCAATTAGTAAATATATTATATATTTTAGTCACAACATGCACTTCAGAGCCAAACTCCAGTACAGAGAGAGCTATATTGTTGATCACCTATAAGAGCTGTGGTGGTGTGCAATATACATTGTAGGGGTTTACAAGTCTGTATGTAGCATTGTATGAAACTAAGATGGGATAGCCTGTGGACCTGTTACTGGTGAAAAATACCCTTCCAGTTTCTCCATTTTCCCTCGGATGAAATTAATGCCTCAGTCTGTAGGTTCTAACTTTCCAAAACAATCCATTAGAACTTCTACTACACATTTTTATGATTTCTTTAACAGTTTCCTTTACATATTAGTGCTAAGTATGACACAGAAGACCCATGTTGTCTTTGGCACATCAAGGACTTGGTTTGGAGTGCTCTATGTATGATAACATAGCATCAACGATCCAAACATGGAACCTTAGAACATCCAGCAATATGTATGTAATATTTGAGAACGCTAGTTTCCCCAAGATTTTCTGGGCATGGTAACTCATTTTTAGGGCAGTTAAATAAATATAGGCTTGGGAACCTGTACAAATTAAAGCAGTATATAAAAACATGGCGTCACACTAAGCTGCTCATTTTGTTTTTAGGTAACTTTAAATATGGCTGCCAATGTTATATTAATTGTCCATTTTACTCTTTTTCATGCCTAGCAGCAAGGACCTTTTTTAATTGCATCATGTAGATGTAAATTGAAAACAGGCACAATTTAAATGATAAGCCAGTAAATATTATAGAATCTTCAAGACAAAATGGATGACATATCTTGTATTACAGTCCCAGCATGCTTCTTAGAGAATTAGTCTTATATAATGATCCAAACCATTAATAAATATCCATCTTTAAAAAACTGCAGACCCTGTACATTAGCCACAAAAAAAGAGTATATCTATACATATATATACAGCGTGCTTTGTGCTCTTTAAATCTCCTTTTAACAAAATATAAATATTAACCCTAACCTTTCAGACGTTATATGTGTTCTCTATCTCTCTCTCTATTTTTCTATCTTAGATCCTTTAGTAAGCAAAAATGGGACGGGGGGACACAATATTGGGGAATATGTAATAGCTTTAGAGAACAGCATCTCAACAGACAAGGTAAGGGCAGCTGTTAACAAAGGGTTCTGATAGAGATGAGTCATCAATAGAAAGAATTTACAGGTCAAGTATATATTGAGACTTCGAAAAAAATGTAAGAAGCGAATGGACCTGGTGAATTAAATTGTTAGATTTCAATAAATACTATACTATGCCATAAACGTAAATAAAAATACAAATACATTTTTCTTGGTACAAAAGAGTTAAATGCCCTCAAAACATATCCACTCAATAGTCATAAGGAAAAAAAAGTGATACTAAAAATATGTCCTCATCTCTTTATAAATTAATGTTCGTAAAAGTAGAAGACAAATCTAATAGGGACAAGAAAAATAAAAAATAAGTTGCAAAGTTGCAGGATGCTAGCTATTTAAAGCTTCTCTGTGTGATTCAACAACAAGATGCAAAGGCAAAAGCAGAGGATAGCTTTGATGTTGGAGCTTAAATATTGTTTCCTAGGAGACCGGATGAAATGATAAACTCAACTGTTTTAGATGGAGGAGTCTGCCAGTGAATCCTCTGAAGTGGGAAATACCACTGACATTCTCTTTAAATGCATATCGTGCTATCAGCAGCTTCGGCATACTGCTCTTTGTCCCGACTGGGAGGCTGAATGCAGACAAAATAAAGACTGGTTTTGGGAGCTAATGCTTTAAAGCATAGCTATTTACAAACAAAGGCACTAAAATAAAAGATATCAAAATATATTATCAGAGTTGTAGTCCAGCAATAATAGGGATGCATCTCAGCTCTAATTAGATATAACTTATATTAAATCTTTGACAAGGATAAGCTGCCCAGCTCCGATCGGGCACAAAGCCAACGTTTAGGGCACAAGGTAATTCCCAAGGAAGGTTGATAATTTGTACCAAATAATATGCCGTTTGATAACAAAGGAATCTCAAAAACAGCTATAAAATTGCTGATTGGAAAAATAATATCTATGAGATTAACAAATTAACTAGAATAGATAAGGTAGCGGTTTATACATTCACTTTGTGTTGTGAATGTGCACTAAACCCCAGGACTAAGTTATGTTTATGAACTAACCATGTTACAAGGTATCTTTCAAGCTCATTATTGTACTGCACCAATGGTCTATCCCTGCAGGTTGGCTCAGTATGACACTAGCAGCAGTGAGGCTTATCTAAATACGCAGGAATGGCCAGTGATGCATAAGATAAAAGCTCTTCTGCCACTCTCACTGATAACTGTCTGTGTCCATGTTCGTGCTATACACTAAGTCTGTGAAAAATCTCCAATATATTTTAGCATATTTAATAAATAGATTATACTGTAATGGCTTTGATTCTCCATTTTCTTGCTAAGAGGACATTTAAAAAAGAATGTAAACGAGCAATCAACGTTAGCCCTCTGCTTTAACCCCTTAACGACCATGTCATGTGTCCTTAAGGGGTTAAACAGATTCCTTTGGTGAAGATTTCACTTACGATAGCCCTGAAGTATGCATTATTTATAACCATCCCTGTGTTAAGGAGTAGCTTGGCAATGTTTAGAGGATAATCTATGTTCATAAGAAGAGGTAATGCATTGTGGATTTAGATGGAAATAAGGTCTGCACTCACAGCTTTTGCAATGACACCATAACTCCTATACAGCTTTTGCGGTGTCCACATGTCAATTCAATAATGCATTCATTAGACCATAACAAGGTAAGCAAATGTATTGATGCCCATTTATTATGACGGACATCCTTGCAGAGGAGTAAGTGATCACCGGGCAAATGGTATAAATTATGTTTGTCTATCTTAACCCTTTGGACAGAAATGGATGTACTGCTCAATGGGCAAATAGACTATATTACACATATTCTGGTGGGTAAGTTGCAAAGTGTGCATCTCAAAATTTGAGGAAAATTGGTTCAAGAGTGTAGGGTCAGCACTATTAAATGGGCCAATAATGTGTTGATATAAATGGGTGGTATGTGAAATGGCACATGACCAAAAGTTGGAATATAAATGTAATAGTGTATTTGCCTCTGAATTTCTAATAAGTAGGAGAATATATACATTTCAGCAACTTTGGCATAATATTTATAATTCACTGATCATTTAACTAAGTTTTTTGACGTTTGCAATAAAAATAAATTAGGCAAATTAATTACCTTTTACAAATATATATCAAGATCTTCTTAGGTATCATCTAATAAAAACCTATTATAAGTTAACGTTTAATGTCTTTTTAACATCCTGATACCTGTATCTCAATCCAACTGTTTGATCATGCAGGTTGTTATGGTACGCATATGATTCATTTAAATACATGTCTGTGCTATTTTAATATATATAATATTCAGTGTACTCTTCAGCAGCATCTTCTTCAATCATACTACTTTATCTTTGCACACCACAGAGTTTATTCACTTAAGTGCGAATTGTGGAATGTGAAAGTACAGTTTAGGTAAATATAACTGGAAAAATAGTGAATTGAAGATTTTTTTTCAATTCAGTTATTTTGTTCTATGACTTGCAATTATTTTGTCAATTTTCCACATTTCTTGGTGTAGCAAATAAACCTGCATATCTCTGACGTTGTCAATGGTAATCTTTAAAACATTGTGCAACATATTGTGATAGCACGCAAAAACAAAACAATACGTGAAGCTCAGGATTCTTTCTGACTCTTGCACAAGCTACAGGTATTAACAGTTGTGTTGGCATAACCATCATCGACAGTGTGAGGAGAGGTGAGAACAGTGCTGATAGTTGACTGAAACCTTAGTCGGACCATTCATTTTCTTCGAGTTCCGAGTCATCGTCCGACTCACTGTATTCCACAGCAATCCTCCGGGACAAGATGGTGGCCACATCATTTCCAACTGGCTCCTTCTTAGCCTCTTGCTCACGCTGCTCTTGGACTTTCCGGAGCTGGATACCTTCAGAATGAGCACAAGGTAATAAAATGTGAATATGCACAGTTCAACTTTTAATATGAAGATTTCCATTCTCTTCTAATATCTAACATTTAAATTTAACATTTCTTTCTCTGTTTAGTCTCCAGGGAAAAACTGGGAATAAATTCATTAAAAAGTATTTATTTTTATGCAAAACAACACTGAAATGTATTATTTAAGCACCCGAGAGACCTTTGTCTGTCAACTTGCATTGGTAGCATAGAGTATTGTAAAAAGAAAAAGCAATTATCTTGTAAAATTGTTTTAGAATAGTCAATTGTTTTTCCAATTTAAACATTAAATAGGAAGGGAGTACCTACCTCTGCGGATTGCGGCCAGTAAGTCGCTCCTGGCATCGCTCATTGGGATGAGTGGAATTTGAGGTTTTCTTGTTTCCACAGTGACAGGAGTAGGGGAAGCCGAATGAGCAGGAGATGGAGTGATAGTTGGGGGACCAGGGGGAGGGGGAGGAGGGGCCATAGGGGGTCCCATAGGGCCAGCTTGAGGAGGGGAGACAGAATAAGGACATGGTGGTGCTGGTGGAGGGGAGGGGATATATGAAGAGAGAGAAATAGAGGCAACAACATTGGGTGCCACTGGAGTGGGTGCAGAAATGGGGCTGTCAAAGGCAGTTTGTGCTGAGGGGATCATGGGGGGAGGTGGTGGGGGAGCAGGGGGCACAAAGTATTCTGTAACTGGCATCTGCTGACCACTGCAAAGAGAAAAGGGTAACTGAATTTTAACATGTTACATTCAATTGCTTTATCCCCGCATCATCAATCATCATACTTCAGGGCACATAGTTTAGCTTTACATCTTATATTAAAACAGTTATAACAGTGGATAAATAGATGATTAACGTAATAGTCATATTGAGTACATTGTGTGAAAGGTTAGAGTAAAACATGAAACAACAAATATATCATCATTAGGAACCTGCTGAGCTCCCAAAACATAAAAAGGAAAAAGGAAAAGTGGGATGGAGAGGCCTAATTTGTAGAGAACTCAACATGGAAATATTGCTATTAGCAGGTACCACAGATGGTGCCACAGAACCCTGGGATATTAGCCCAGATGGGTATGTGTTGGGAGTAGTGTGGGTGTGAGAGAAAGACAGGTACGTGTCAAGGAAAATATAAAAATGGATCACACAGAAATTCTATCTAGCAACAATTTATTAGTTTTTCCAACAGAAGCAGAGAGAAATTGTCAATCCAAGACTTTTCATTAACAGAACATACCTGTTAATGTAAGTAATCATGCTTTGCCTCTGGTATTGTGGTTTATAAATACCATTTGTGGGGTGGTAACGCTGATACTTTAATTATACGAAACCTGCTTTGTTCAACTTGAAAGCATTGGTAATTACTTTGTGTATGGAATACAATAACCCATAATCTAATTAGCATGGATATTGCAAGTCACCAAGGCATCTCATAAAAATCTAGAGGCTGTTGGTTGAATGCATTTATAGGTTCCAGATAGACTTCACTACATACTGAGATTCACAAGGCAACATCCATCTATTGGCAAATGAAATGTTTGCTTCTTTTTCCTAAGAAATAATTGCATTCTTCCATTGGTAATAGCAAAATCAAAGCAATAGTTTTAGTAATCAATATCTGTAAATAAAATAATGTTGATTTTTAATAATACAAACATAATTTGTTCTTAAAATTCCACAGAAGCTATATGTTCTAGAGTCTAGACTCCAAGTAATATGAATAATATATATAAATAATATATTTAGGTAGTAGATTAATGATTAGCTTGAATGTGATGCATATCAACATCAAAACCCTACACAGTTAAGGTCAAATCCCCTTTAAAAAATATCGGTATATCCAGTTAAGATGTAAAGCATAAGATATGTGCTTTGCAACATTACAATCAAAGTATATTAAAAAAACAACAACCTGCTCAAATTGGCTTGTGCCATTAAGATGCATTAATAATATGCCATTAATGCATATGGTAGCACGCTCTGGAATCACCAACACCCTTTCTACCTGTACAATTTCCTGCAGTACTGCTAGCATTGATAGACTGTGTGTGTTTACACTCAATGTTTTATATAGTGCCAAAAAAAATTGAACCAGACTGCGGGATAATGCTCTTTGGTAATGACTGAGTTAATTCAATGAGTTTTCTAAAACTGGCACATTGGCCAAGCGTTTGCTGCCTGAGAATGGGAATGAACAGTATTTGGCATAAGAGATTTCTTGGCTGGGTAAGAACACATTGCTGATTGCAAATAGTAATAATATATATAGAGAGTGTGTGAGCTCTCCAAGATTCTGAACCCTTCTACTACAACCAAAAGCAATTAGGAATGTGTATCCCCCCCCCCCAAAAAAAATACATGTGTTATCTATGAACTGAAGCTGTGTTTGCTTAAAATATATTCTTATTTAAAATGGACCAACTGACTTTGAGATTTTTGTACCAGTAACGTTATACTAACAGCCACTTAGGTTTTTGTCTGTATATCGTGCATTGCATGATAAGCCATTTGATCAAAATACAGAACAGAATTCACAATGCAAGTAACATGTTTATAATAAAGGTAACCAGGGGAACCCTGTAATGTGATGGTCAAAAATGAACATGTGACTATGGACAAATGGAATTAATATGATGGTGACTGGTTTCACAACAAGCTTACTCCGTCTGGTGAATCAAGTATAAAAGGGAACACGATAGAAATATCGTTCATGAAGGAAATTTTGCATATTATTTTACTTTTACTGTGGAATGTATTAATATTGTTGAGGTTAGAATATTTTAACCATAGATGAAAGACTTTGTATTTTCCTAATCAGAGTTTCAGCAAACAGCTCACTGAGAGAACTATCAGATGTCACGTAGGGGGGACAACGACTCTAATTTGATAAAATAGTACTAATCGCACTTTAGTCCCTCTGCAATTATACCCAACATTCTTTTTTGTTAAACTCAGCAACATATGTCTTGGCCTATCTCCCATAAGGCAGTTATAAATGGCATGCAAAATATAAAATATATTCATTTTTTTTACAAACACTTGGTTTTGCACAGTAATTGCATTAACAAAAATAGCTACTTACTTCTACAACTTTTTTTTTTCTTTCACACATACCATATTTTTCTACTTACCCATAATCCTTCAGAACGTGTGGACGTGGTCCATTTGGGGTGGCTTCTGGTGGCTGGGGTACATGAGCCTGCTGAGCTCTGTTTAGGCTGTTCTGACGTGTACTAGGGGCAGAGGTACGGTAGCAATGCTCCTGTGCCTGACTTGCCATTAAGATAATCTCCTTATTTTCTGGTGTTAAGTGAGGGGCTGGGCCCAGGATCTGTTGGCCAGGATGATTAGGGCTGGCGGGATAAGAGTGATCAAGATCAGATGCATAGGACCTGCAGATGATATACAAGAAGCAATGTTATCTGTACTCTTGACATGTTAACACACATCTAATGATCCACTCCGAACAATCCACCAACCATTACAGAGTTTACATTCAACTTGATGAGTATAAGGACATTTCACTGCACACAATGAGCTAGCTAAAGTGACACATGGCATATAGAATGTATTTATACCCTGTTATTATGTCTAATATTAGCATTTAAGTCATGCTTTGTTTATTCAACTAAACACATACTCGAATATAGTGATTTCATTGAAAGCCATATTAAACCATCCAATAGTTCACCACTAGATAAACAGTACAAGCATTGCAGGTTTAATCTCATGCAAATATATACAAAAGTGACTTCCAACATAAACCTTACACTTCAGAATATATTACCACGAATACCACAAAAAAACACACACAAGGGGAGGAGCTATATTTTGACAACCAATAATTGAAGGATCCCTGGTTTAACTTATATTGACAGATACAGATTTTTTTTCAAGTGGGTCAGTAGTTGAGTACTAAACCACACCTCATTTTCACTTCTTAAAAGGACACTATAGGCGCCCCGACTACTTAATTTTAATGAAATAATCTGGGTACAGTGCTCCTAGCATTTTAGTCTAAAGCATTGCCTTTTGTAGATATGGCAATGTTTACAATGCAGAGATAAACACATCTATACTGGCTGTCTTCCCGATAGCCACTTGAGGGTGCTTCCACTTCCATAACTGAGTCAGACTCGGCTCTTCAATCAATGATTTTTATAGAAAGCTTTGATTGGAGGAGCAAGGCACTAGATGTGCTTGGGGTTCTCGTCCACTATGAGAAGCATTGTATTGGACAAAAAGAAGGTGTTAGTGTGATGTCACCGGAGGCAAATTGGGCGGCTGCAGTGACTTCATCTTGACGCTCCTAAAAGATTAGTAAAACTCTTTTTTTTAAATGTATATAGGGGGCCCACATTTCCAAATAGTGAGTAGAACACTATAGCAGTAGGAATATATGTTTGTATTGCTAACACTATAGTGCTTCTTTAAACCCATAGTATGCAATTGTATACACTGTTCTTAGCCTACTATGGTGTAAATAGCAACATACTATATCAGCCTTCAAAGGCCTATGTACTGACACATTGTACGCAGAACATGCCTAGTATCAGGGGACAGAGATCCTTCGGAAGAAGTCACATGATATGGAGATGGTGAGAACCTGTTATCGGGCCTGAACTCCTTATCGTAAGCCATCATGTTCCATTCCAGTCTGCGATTCCGTGCTTTCCGTACTTTCTTCACCTCTCGAGTGGGATCTTCCACTTGTCTTTGTTCCTAAAAACATATGAAATATGATCAAACATAAGACATACTGGGGCATGTTTAAGAAGTTCTAAATTTCATAGTTAAATTGTGTCTACTCCTCCCTTCAAAATTGAAATGTATCACTTGTTCAACTTTTCAACCATTTTAAATTAATCATTTTTTTAAAACCTAGAGTGCTCTACTGGGCATCGATATTAGGTCCTCCCCCACTTAAAATCCTGTAAAATAAGTAATAAACCTACTTGGAACACCAGACAAAGCTACCACTTCAGAAAAGCAATCAGAACTGGTCATAACTGTGGGCATTTTCAGAATGGAACTAACTACATCCCATATCTAGTTCTGCTCACTTCTACTAAAGAAATGGTAACAACACACAAAGGATAGTTTCGTGACAAGAGTTTTAAGGGTTCAGCATGCTTCATTAAGCATATATAATATATTTTCTGTTCTGTCTGTGTGATTCAAACTATTGGCTAAAAAAATCCCCATATCGTTCTTCCACCATCAATAAAATTCTCAATAATCTGTGACATAAAAATAGACGATCAGGGCTAACAGTAACAAATTAGTTAACCCCTTAAGGACACAGCTTCAGAAATAAAAGGCAAAAATCATGGAAATTCTCCATCATGTGTGCTTATGGGGTTTTAATTAAAAGATGTGTTTTGATATATATCAATATAACACAGAAGCTTCTATTTTATTTTAGGCAACACAATAATTCTATATGAATATTATATCATACCTCCGAAGTGTGCCTATTTAGGAGGGATAGTCCCTATTTTGGACCCAAATCCAAAAAAATTAATAATTTTTTATCCTAATAACCCTTTCTTGTAGCTCAGCGTTCTTGGTTTGTCCGAATTTTTAGCTGAGCAATAATACTCACAGTAATACAGTTTTTATGACAACTGTATAAATAAGATATGTTGTTTTTGTTCTGTAAGTCACCAAATTTTTTTTAGACCAGCCTATCCTTGGTAACTCCCCCACACTCACATCCTTAAAATTGAAGTGCCCTTCTATCCTTTTGAAGTTTTTTAAGGTGTGCTTTATAAGTGAGTTTTTACATGACACTCGATGGTTGCATATTATGGTTAGACACATATTTTGGAAAAAAGGGTGCAGCTTCAGCGAAAAAGTCTTATTAAGGCTAGAAATTAGCTCATTTGAGCAGGGCCCTCAACCCTCTCTGTTTCTGTGCATCCAATTAGTCTGGTAACAGATACTTGTCTGTTAGTCCATCCATTGTACATCGCTGCGGAATTTGTTGGCGCTTTATAGATGATAATAATAATAATTTGAGATTGGCTCCCCTGATTAGAGTACTAGCTTGGTTCTTTGCACCCTGCTGGTGGCTGATTAACACTCAAGAGTCATTGCGTGCCATGCCTGGGTGACACGGCGTTGAGATGCCACAATGTATCAACATCTTTACAAACCATGTTGCAGCTATTGCTACCCAGCTCTAGTTGGTACATGTTGTGTTATTCAACTGCTGTCACCCCCAAGGCTTTAATGTGAATACCATCAGTGTTAAATGTCCAAAATAATTTAAATATGGAACTGAGATTTTATGAAGATATCACTGGGTCATTTCTGCATAAAACCATTTTATTAAATATTTATCCAGGGGGATGGTTCTGAGACTAATATTAGATCATCTGAGATTTAAAAAAATATAAGTAATGGAGCTAGTAAGAAATCCTTACCAATGACATTTAACAATTTAATAATATAAATTATATCAAATCATTGAACCAGGAAAGATACATTTAGCTTTTGATAGTTTTCAAGCATATAATATGTCTCTCGGGAAAAACAGAACGGAGAACAAATACTATCAGGGTAGATCAACTCAAGCCGATTTTATTTATTTCAGATCAAATACGTGTTACAAATTAATTTGATCTACATCAGTTTGTGTCTTACCATTACTGAATCTACAGCTATTATTGCCATATAATTACCGTCTTCTACTAATTTTAAATGCATTGAACATTATTGTACTTATGTGATGTTTAGCCAAGAAATTCATTTAAATAGGACAGTTAAAACATAGATATTATCTATTGAAGTGTAAATTGTCAGTAAGTCCGTTATGTTTTCAGTTCAGCTATTTTAGCAAAACATTTGAAATTTTACCTGATTCCAGCGCTGAGCTGGGCTGGGCTCCTCTGCTGTTTTCAACCGATGGGGGAGTCTAATACGCATGCGCGGCAATCACCCTGCATGCATTAGACCTTTCCATAGGAAAGCATTGACTCAATGCTTTCCTATTGGGATTTAGAGAAAACTTGATGTCCTCATGCAAAGTGTTAGGACGTCCAGCTTCGTTTCACTGAGTCAACTCAGTGAAACTGCAAGAAGCGCCTCTAGTAACTGTCTGGTAGATAGCCACTAGAGACAGTCTTAAAGGACCACTATAGGCACCCAGACCACTTCAGCTCAATGAAGTGGTCTGGGTGCCAGGTCCATCTAGGGTTAACCTTGCAGCTGTAAACATAGCAGTTTCAGAGAAACTGCTATGTTTACACTAGGTTTAATCCAGCCTAGAGTGGCTGTCTTCCTGACAGCCACTAGAGGCAGCTTCCGCGATCCTCAATGCAAAAATTGTATTGAGGACATGCTAACATCCATAGGAAAGCATTGAGTAATGCGTTTCTATGGGCGGTTTGAATGCACGCTGCTCTGGCCGATCAGGCACATTCGGAGCGGACGTTGGCAGGGGTAGGAGAGGTCACCAGCAACAAGGGAGCCCGGCGCTGGATTTAGGTAAGTGGCTGAAGGGGAAAGTGGGGGGGACCAAATAACCCTATAGTGCCAGGAAAAGGAGTTTGTTATCCTGGCACTATAGTGCTCCTTTAACTCTGCAATGCAAACATGAACTATTCTAAAACTGCAATATTTTACATTGTAAGACTAAGGGGGACAGGGTCACTGCACCCAGATCACTTCAATGAGATGAAGTGGTCTGGGTGTCTATAGTGTCCCTTCAAATTCCTGACAATTCACAGGTTAATGAAAAAAACTGTTTGTTAGCATTTTTCATTATATTTGAGTATAATTTTATTATACTGAACCTTGTTACTGGCAAGAAAAACAATTATAATTATGGTTGCCAGGTCACGATGAATTCCTGGACACACAGCACTTTGGAAAACTGCAAGGAGGCGCATTAAAAGCAGGGCTCAATAGTTCTACTCACCCACTAGCCACTGACAAATAAAAATTCAAGCCTAACAAGAGGAAACGTAGCCCTGACAGGTGTATCATTGACCCTCCCCAATGGAAGTATTCTCAGAGCTGCTTGAATGCAGAAGCCTATTGCAACCATGGTTGCACGACTGATACGTGCGGACAGTAGAAGTGAGTTTACACCAAGGGATCAGGCAGAATTCCGCAGAGGTTACAGCTCGACTGCTGTTAGACCAGTTCATTCAGCCAGATCATTAAGGCATGGGATGTGACATTGCTGTTGCTCTGACCACTCACAGCAGTCACTTTACAGTAGTTGATCTGCTGTGGCAAGTAACATTTAGACATGGCTAGTATCATATTACTTGCAATTCTGAGCACTGGTGTACAATTCATGTGCTGTAGAAAAGCAGATCAATGAAATTGCCTTAATTAACTAATTGATTTCCCTGATTTACTATATAAATAAATACAATACATTGCAGCTGCATACATTGCCCTCCGGCAGGCAGAGATACGTGTTCGGGAAAACCCTGTGGATCTGGAAATCCTAGTCAAAATTTATGTTTGCACCAAAATGATGGTATTAAAAGCTGGCTACGTCTTTAGAAAGGAATTGATGTATTCTTACTCCCTCTAGTGGAACACTGTAAAACTGGAAATTAAAGAGCTGAAACTTTGGTATGTTTCTATTTATTGCAACTTCTGATTGTCTCAAATTATACAACCCATACAAAATCCTGTTTCTACGCCTGTAACCCATTTCTCATTAAATCTTGCAGAAATATCCTCTGGCTTTAACCTCTTAAGGACACATGACATGTGTGACATGTCATGATTCCCTTTTATTCCAGAAGTTTGGTCCTTAAGGACCACTATAGGCACACAGACCACTTCAGCTTAATGAAGTGATCTGGGTGCCAGGTCCACCTAGGATTAACCCTTTTTGCTGTAAACATAGCAGTTTCAAAGAAATTGCTATGTTTACATTGGGCTTAATCACAGTGAGAAGACGCCAGCGTCCATAGGAAAGCATTGAGAATGCTTTCCTATGGACTGGCTGAACGCGCGCGGCTCATGCGCATTCAGCCGATGACGGGAAAGAAGGAGGAGAGTCCACAGCGCTGAGGGAGCCCTGCGCTGGAGAAAAGGTAAGTGATTAACCCCTTCCTCACCCTAGAGCCCGGCGGGAGGGGGGCCCTAAAGGGTGAGGGGGACCTAAGGACCGTATAGAGCCAGGAAAACGAGTATGTTTTCCTGGCACTATAGTGGTCCTTTAAGGATACAATTATTCCAAATACTGAAGGTAATCGACAGTTCTGGTTCAAGATCTATGCTACCGTCACATTATGCTCCAAAAAACGGCGTGTGTTTCTGCATTTCCCATGATCTGAAGTGCTCCCCATTGTAGATTTGAAAAGATTTGGTGTGCTAGGACAATAAGCTTAATGCAGTCACGGAATCCAAAACCAAAACAAATAAAAAATCAGAGCTCTGTGGTATTTAACTAAGAGTGGTTTGACACTTTTCAATCACTATTTCTTCACCAACCTACACAGAAACTTCAGGCTATATTTAATTAATTGTTTTTTTCAAACACTTTTCATTTTCATAGGGAATTTCACATCAAACTGTTATGAAGCCACTGCCCCCGAGTACAGTTTATATCCATGTCTAGATCAAGTATAGATATGTCAGTTTCAGTTTTCAAATGTCTAATTTTTATCAAATTATTTACTAAGTTCATGTAATGTTTTCGTCAAAATCGCAACCCCAAATGCACTTTTCCTCACTATAGTATCCCCACCCATTACAAAAGAAGAGATATTGGGCCTGTATAGTCTTTCCACTTGGTCATTTAATTATGAAGTTCTGCTTTATTTAGTTATAATGTTTTTTTTTCCCATACAGGTGAGTTTTTATATTTCACAGATCTTGCGTCTCCTAACCTTTAAAGGCTTTGTGTATTCTGTATTTGACATGCCTCTGTACAGCTTGCTTCCCAGAGAAACTGTTTGGTGAAGTGGCACTATCTGTGTGTCACCATACTTCACCTTACTAGACTAGCTAACTCTAGCAACAGCTAACATTAACCCTGGCTAACCCTAATGTTACCAAACCAAGAAAAACGTAGCTATCCTGAAACCAAGTTAACCATAACTAACCCTAATAATAACCATCCCTAACTCTCTTTAATCTTAACTATCCTAATGTAACGAACCCTTACAGTTCTCTGTTTAGTAAATTGGTCCACAGGCCCAGTGATCATCTTGAGAGCCAATCACAGTGATTACAAGCCTGATCTGTCAGTCAAAGCATGCAACTGATGTGACTTACTCGCATGGCCATTAAACAACTTGGGTTACAATCAAAGAATAGTTTTGTACTGCCACATATTTTCTATTCTATCTATCATCAGTATACCTTTTCTACTGTATTCATTAAACTTTGTGGAGTCAAATAAATAGGTAAACTTTACCAAAAGTAAGTGAGCAGACCTTTCTGAAATTATAATTCGTTTTTTTTTTCTTTTTCTAAATGTACAGCAGTAGTAACTAAATATTTAGGTACTTTTCATTTCGTGTATGAAAAGCAGGTCCAAGCAAAGAACAGAAACAAACAAAAAAACAAACAAACAAATAAAACTAATTTGTAAAAAAAATAAAAAATAAAAAAAATGATTACTTCTATGAGATTAGAAAAATGAATCAACACATGTTATTGTTTTAGAAAGGTAAAATAATCCCAATTGTAAAATCCCTTTTTTAGACTACAACCTGTTTTTGTTTTTTAGAAAATACACTGTTACTTGTCATGCAATTTACTGAAAATTACATTTTTCATTTTGGGCAGTATATTTTGTATATAAAAGAAGTCAACTATTAAGCAAATTGTCTATTTTTGATGCAGCAAAGCCTGCTGAAAATAAACACAAACAATATATAATTTGTTGGGAATAGTTTTTTGCTGACTATACCAAAACGTGGTAAAACCTCTCCTGCACTGGGCCAAGGCAAGGGAATACGGTAATGCCTGACAGAGGAAAGCCGGATTTTATCCATGGTCCAGTAGGGATTAAAACATTTAAAGGTAAGATGTGAGTGTAATGGGGCATGACAAACACACGCCCTTCAGATCTTTTTATTACATGGCTATTTGTTTCACTGCCTAGTGTGTTTTGTGGATTTTTGATGTTACAACTTGAATAATAAACTAATAGTTGACTGTTGCCAACCGGCCATAATCAGCGAGGTCAGGACTGCCATATCCACCATGTGTTCCTGGACCCAGATCATTTATACATATTGACAGTCAGCATATGAAAAGTGTTGCCCTGTGGTATGTAGAATTCAGAAGTTTCTGTATGAAATCAAGTAATTAGTCAATAATGAATCCTGCAGGACATACACTAGACATTCTGCAGGGCAGCATTATTAATGTTTTTCCATTAGCATGAAGAAATTATACATGTTTTGGAAAACATGGTGGATATGGAAACCCTAACCAATGTACAAAAATATATACTCAAATTGGAGGCGGTTGGAAATCACATTTTTTAATTTTTTTGTAAATCTTTATTTTGGTTGTGCAAATGATTCCATTTAAGCTTAGCATGCCACAATAGCACAAACAAACACAGTAATACAAACAATAGTAAACAATTATATGGCGTTCATAGAAACTGCACAATTTAATATTAATAACGAGCAGGAACAGAGTAGTTCGACATGTCTAGGCTAGAAAACACATATATGTTAAAACAGATAGGCTGGCTAGATATGGGGATTAGAGCATAGTAAAATGTCACTAGTCATATTAGTGTTTCAGGAGTAAGGAGCCACTGGGGTTGAGACTACTGGCACGGTTCTGCATTGTGAAATAAACTAACTGTAGGTAAAACAAAAAAAGTTAAATAAAACCATTGCTCATATTAGGGAGAAGGGGCTTAGAAATGCTGTATGGTGGCAACTGGAGTTAAGGAGACTCCGATTTGGGGAAGGCAATATGCCTCTGGGAATAAGTCCAGCATCAGTCAATGCCCAAGGTTGGGAATGCTGGATGGTTGCCGTAAGGTCTAGCAAGGCGGGAGCGTGGTGTAGAGCCCCTCTTGCCCCAGGCCTTGATGAAGACAAACATCAGGGAACCACGGACTCAAGTGCTCGCATTGGAGTTCAAGTCCATCCCTATAGGAGAATTGTGGAAGCTCCTGGTGTTCTGTCACCCCCTGCGGCGATGGGTCGTCCGTCTGGGTGGTTGTTGCACAGGGACTATGTCCCTAACAGCCCTCAGCCTGGGCAGGCCAGTGCTGGGAAACACATGAGATTGATGAGATGCTTTGCCAGGAGGAGGCCCTCTCACCTCTGCTCCACTGTCACCTGTTTCTTTCTCCAGACTCTGAAGTGATGCTGCCACAATGTGGGCCTCAGGTTTTGCCCAGAAGCATGCAAAGTGATTTTCCAGTCGCTCCATTATGTGTTCAGATCCAGTCGAAGTCAGCTCATGCTTATGTGGTGTGAGAGTGTTAGCCATCTTGGGGACTAACAGGATTAGTTGCCTAACATCTGCCGCGGTAAGCAAAGCATCCCAGTGGGGACCGGGATAACCCCCGCCGGTCCAGAGGGGGTAACAGGGCACTATAGGTTACTGTGAGAGAGTGATGCGTCGTGGGACAGGAGATCGGACGTTTCTCCTGCCCAGTGTGCACACTAGGCCTCGGTAGCTCCGGTACATCTGGAGACCGGACCAAAGCTTCCAGGCTGGCTTTAATAGCAGGTAAGTCGCTGCCGGATTCAGTTGTGAGTGTCGGGTGTCGCAGGATTCCACTAAAATTGAGAGTTCTGCAAGGAGCTCCTGTTAGTCCCGCCCCCGGGAAATCACATTTTATTACTCCTATTTTAGGAGACAGGCTTTGCAGGCTAAAGTTTTTACAGACTGACAGTTGAATTACAGAAAATGCAATGTACCATTGGGGTTATGCATGAATGCGAACATATTTAGAGTTATTCAGTAAAGTGAGAATTCATAGTGAATTTCCTATATTAGGCCAAACTAGAAGCATTGCTGACTTAGTAAATTTTTCCAGTTTGGCTATTTTTGACCTTGAAATGGAACTTCACTTTGAATTTTTACTTTAGTGTATAACCCTGATGGACACCCATGAAACTATTTATAAAAATACAATTGCATTTATACACCCCATATACTATTAAAAACAAGATCACCAGAAATTTAACCATAAAGTATAAAAGTAGGCATAGAATCTATGTGTTTGGTTACGAATGTTTAGACAATGTTTCCTGTGCTTACCTTTTGTCTTCTCTTCTCTTTCCTCTTGTCTTCAGTGGCCTGTAACATCTTCTCTTTCCATAAGTTGAAGAAATAAGAGGGATCGGTGTAGAATCTGAGCCCGTCTTTCTTGTCGTCCCTACAGAAGGGAAAATACACAAATCAATGCGAAGAAATTTGCAGTAGTAATTATGTAGCTCATCAACTGAGATCTATCAAGCTGATCCCTAAGCAATAACTACTGACAAAAACCTGATATTTTTCTTCTAGAAGTTGTGTAAACAAAAAAAGGAAGCCCGTCTGTAGTGCCCTCATTGTTTCTTGAGAACATCTCCAGTGGCTGAGGATTGTGGGAACTTGGAGCACTACAACTTGTTCAGTCCTGATTTCAAAAAGGAACGTGATAGAAGGCATCTCGTCTTGAAGAAAACAACCATAAACCTGAAAACAAATCAATGCAACTTTCATACTTTGGATTAAAGGGTTACTCCACGCACCATGACCAATTGAGGGATTTGAAGTGGCCATGGTGCCTAGAATCTATATAGGCAGCATTTTGCATTGAAATGTTGCAGATACAGAGATTACTACCTGTCTTGCCAGAGATCAATCTTCCCCTCTAGCAGCATCATAGGGCTGTCTTGAGCCAGCCCAGAATTCGGTGCAACTTTCTTTGGCAGACAGGAAAAAGCTGATTCTCTAAGCAAATTAATGTCAACCACCAGGACTTCCAGCATTTGCAGCTCTGCAGAAGCCTGAAGCACGTCAGTGGACCACCAGGAAGGATCAGATAAGGTGGCATGACCATTGCTAAACAGTTTACCCAATTACAAGAAAGCCAGGTAAGGATACTCCTGGCATCACAAACACGACAGTGCTCTGTAGGGAGAATATATCACTTCAACATGATATATTCTCCCTTTTACTAAAACAGTTACATTATATTTAACTAATAAAAGTTAATTATTCAAGTTTTACAGTTTTGAACATAATGCCAGTTTTCATCAATTGTATATTACATACAGTATAAGTACTACGGAAACTACTTTTTCTGTTTAAAAGTTATGAAAAGCAGAGTACTTGCTGGGAATTGGGCAAAGAACATGTAAGGTGGCAGATATAATATTCCGTCACAGAATCTGTTATTTGTCATATTATCAGAACACAATAAAGGGTGTCTCACTTATTACTGTACACCTGGGCCAACAACTTCATTGTAGGTAAATGAAACATGTCTGGCCCTGGAGTAAACCTTTTAGCCACACGGGTTTATATATTATTTAAAATGTTGATATTGAGCTGTGAATGCTGACCAAGATTGTTTCTTGCCCCTGCACATTGACACTAGAACACATTTTTGGCCTCTGGAGGTGATGCTAGTGGTCCAATCATAAAGAAACAGCTGGCATTGCTACTAGGTGTAAATGTCCCAGCTGCTACTTGTAGCAGAGGAAGAAAAAAAGTGGAAAATGGTTACCACATACATTCGGGGACCATTACTGTGTTCCTGTAAGCACTGATCCTATCATGTTACTGCTGTTTGCTTATCTAAAACCCCCATGATGCTCTGCCAAAGCCCCACCACCAATATATAATATGTAATGTGCAATGAGATCCAAGTATTTTCTTTTTTCTAAATATTAATTTTAGAGACAATTATTTAGAACTATCTCACAAATTTTTTTTTCAAATACTAGAAGTGACGAACATATCGACTGACCCAACATAAATCCATCAAATATTGAAGTAACATTTCAAGCATTATAACCACTACAGTGGTCTGTACCGATTGTGGAGCCAGGAGTGTCCATAAAAGGCAACAATATTAGGACCAATTAGGACCGGTTACTATTTTGGTCTGTCAAATTCTCTTTGACCTAGAGGGCCATTGTGGATGGAAACTCCTGGTTACGTGACAATGGAAAAAGTGGTAAATACAAATAGAATTGGGGGCACACCTAGAAATGGAAAAGGTGGTGACTGAAAAGCATCGTGCCCAACCCTGAATGTTAGATTGTTCCATATTCACAGGGTAGAGCCTACAAAAGGGTGGCTATAAGCCAAGCAATAGAAACTAGAAAGGACATTACAAGGAAGATAGGAGGATAATAAATCCAATTGATCTTCGTCAACATTTAGGCATAGTTTCTCCAACAGAGTCAATGTGCAATGCAAGACTCTTATCTGCTAGCAACTCATGTCACAAATGGCCAGTCCACCAGCAGACTTATGTTGCACTAGAACATGTTTTTTTCACATACACCTAGTAAATGCTGATAGGAAGGAGTAAAATAATCCAGAGAAAATCTGGGCAGGGGGAACTTGGAATAGGTACAGTAACCATAGTAAGTTTCATTCTGAGGCTTGTATAAGCCAAGTAAGGTACATCAAAGACCATTTCACCACATAAGGTCAAGTCAGCTGGAAAGAAAGGAGGAACCCCTACCCAACCTCATAGTGTTTTAAGATATTGTTCTTGGCATGATAAGAGATCCATTACCCTATATGGCTAGTTGCCATGCTCACAGAATGAATGTTTGGTTTATAAGAAGGAGTAACATGCTCTAAAACTCAAAATATATGCTCAATGACCTATTAACAAAGGTCGTTGATACTCAACCCAATTTTGTTCATTTTGCATCTCTAACCTTTTTCCTAATTAATGATAAAACATCTATGCAGTCTTTATCTACCTCCCACGATGTGAGTAGGGGACCTCTGTCTGAAATAGTTTCTCCAAAATCTTTCAGCACATCAGTGCCATTTATCAAGAGACTTCAGTCTGAAAGTATTTATAGTGGAGACTCTGTGGTCATCACTATGGCGCATGGACAGACCAGAAACAGAAACATAGTACTTGTCAAACAAAATCACGTATTGTTTTTACTGCCTACAGTGTTACTAAAAACTCCTGTGAAATCATTTGTGCAGGGCAAAGGCGCATTAGTTTGGCAATACATCTACTTCTGAAACATGTCTGTCACATTGAATTTAATTTGGGTGGGGTCTCTGGAATATTCTGTTCTTTCACATCATATGAAAGGAGATTCAAACCTGCTGGACAGAAGGCTGTCCCACAACACCAGATGGAGTTATAGGGAACCGTTATCGCCAGAGAGACAAATCAGCCATGTGAAAAAGTCAAGTCAATGAAAGACACAAAGCCAGTAACAGAAAGAGGAGTAGAAGTAAAAAGATTGAGAAAGAAATAGGAGATGAAAAAGAGGGCTAAAACATAGGGACAAATAGAAAAAAAAGACACAGAAACAAGGTGAAGACTGGCCTTTGACTTCTGTCCACTAGGTTCATTGGGTGTCCCCATGCTGTTGATAATACAGGGTATGGTTAATCATACAGAACACTAGTGGCTTACCCTTAGCATTGCAGATGGTAAGGATTAGAATACCCATGAAGTAAACACAGCATTCTGAGGGTTTTGTAGGAATATGTTTTAAAGTAAAAGTGTAAGCCTCCACCCACTTACCTTATCTGTCCGCCGCTCTGCCGACGGCGGGATCGGTCGGACCGCCGCTCCCACGCCTGGAGAGGCTACATGCAGCTTCAGGGCCGCTGGCCGCTATGCAGACGCCCCTTTTAAGGACGCGGAGCATGCGTCCTGGCACCATGAGGCCAGAAAAGCTCTAAACAACAGAGCTCAACGTACACGTACATTTTGGGGGCGTGGTTATGATAATCATATAAAATCCCAGTCTGCCCCTAAAACTGTTGTGGTTCCTAGTGTGCCTTGTGTCTCTAGTGTCCCCTCAGCGTGTTCCTGTATCCTTTTGATAGTTCTTTGGTTTTGACCCGGCTTGCTCTTGACTATTCTGATTTCTGGTTTCCCTGACTCGGCTTCGTTCCTCGCTATTGTGAATTTCTGGCTTCCCTTGACCTTGGCTTGTTTCTGGCATTTCTTGTAGTTTCTATTTTATCTGGCCATTTTAAGGATCGGCTTAGCGGCTTTCTTTCTGTCTCTAATTATACTGGTGGTTTTCACTCTGCGTATTGGGTAATACCGTTACAAAAAGATGGTAAAATGCGCCAAATTCACCTGGTCTCCAGTGGGGAAAATAATGCAAAACTGCCCTGGCAATCGAAGGGTTAATGCTAGTGGTTACAGAGAAAGTATGGAATAGCAAAAGTACAAATATTTTGTAATGACAAGAGATGGAACCTGCTGATATCATATTTACTGAAAGTACATTAAAGCAAATTGACAATTATAACACACTCATACATTTTGCATGCAATAGCCTTTGAAATAATGAATATTTATATGACTGTCTGTATTGATACTATTTATATCACTTGATTTTCCGTTACGCGTCTGTACATGCACTAATGAGCCCTTTAAAAATACTGAGTTTTCTGTAAATATACTTTAACCTTTCCAGTGTAATTGTCTTTTTGTGTAAGGGAAATAAATTCTTATTTCGATATTGGGAAAAGTACCCAAAGCAGGTGGATGAACAATAGTGTGCCCATTAAAGCCCTTGTCATGTAGATTATATGCAGACACCCCCCCCCCCCCGTTACTTCATTAGTTAGTGGTAATAATGCAAAGCTTAAAGGACCACTCTAGGCACCCAGACCACTTCAGCTTAATGACGTGGTCTGGGTGCCAGGTCCAGCTAGGTTTAACCCATTTTTTCATAAACATAGCAAACTGCTATGTTTATGAATGGGTTGAGCCTTCCCCTATTTCCTCTAGTGGCTGTCTCATTGACAGCCACTAGAGGCGCTTGCGTGCTTCTCACTGTGATTTTCACATTGAGAGCACGCTAGCGTCCATAGGAAAGCATTCTGAATGCTTTCTTATGTGACCGGCAGAATGCGCGCGCAGCTCTTGCCGCGTGTGCGCATTCAGCCCAGGAGGAGGAACGGAGGAGGATCGGAGGAGGAGAGCTCTCCGCCCAGCGCTGGAAAAAGTTAACTTTTAACCCCTTTCCCCCTTCCAGAGCCGGGTGGGAGGGGGACCCGGAGGGTGGGGGCACCCTCAGGGCACTATAGTGCCAGGAAAACGAGTATGTTTTCCTGGCACTATAGTCGTCCTTTAAGAGCAGTGGTAAGAGTACGTTTGACTTATCAGGGCATGTTAGAATTATCTTCATATCTGCATTAGCTTGACCTAAACTTTAGATGTTCTGCAAATAAAGAAAACCTAGTTAAACAAATACAGACTAAACATGTATTCATGTCTTTACTAAAAAATACTGATCCAACATTGAAAGTCTTTCTAGGTAAGGTTATTACAGTGGTTTAGAGAATCAGGTCTATTAAAGAGGACAGTTCATTTACTTCTAATACCGTAAGCTAATGATTGAAAGAGACGGATGCAAACTTTGAAAGCTAGGTGATCATAGAGTATCCATCTGATATGTTCTACTAAGAACATGTCAATGCATTTCCAAAAAACAAAACAAAACATATATTTATATATATAGTTAAAGCATATTTACAAAATATCTTGGACCTTATTTAACAACACCAAAGGCCTGTACCTCCTAAAACGTCCCCCACTGGCCTATTCATTAATATAGGAAATGATCTGCTGATAGAAGAGGAACCCACAGACCTACAGATAAGGAAGATAACATCCCATCCAACAAAGTGGAAATTAAAGCTTTACTGTATGATATCCTTTCAAACCTAACAGGTGCACATTGTATTAATGGAGGAAAAAGTAGGGACCATATACATTGCTCAGTTCACAATGAACTCCGTTCTCAATACATAACACAATATTACTCTGAGCTGTCTGCCCACATGGTGTGATCAGAAGATAGGAACATGGTGCATAACATGAGAGTTAAAGTAGTGTCCAAAGATGTCTTACAAGAAGAACTAGAACACTTCACTCTTGTCACCTAAATATGTCAAACCTGTCACATTGGATGTCTGTTTTTGGTTGGCTAAAGCACATATGGCTCCATAAAGGTTCCATTGGACATTCTACATTGCTTCAAAATGGATTCTGACATGGCTGTTACCCTGAGGGCCACGAGGTGTTCACCCATGCTTTCCCATGAAGGATTACAATTATCCTTCTTAAGGATAATTACCTGGCACACAGTTTTTTTGGAGTTAATCGTTTTACCCTATTATGAAGCTTCTCATTGAAAAAGAAATTCTGACAAGGATGCCAGGAAAGATCCGACTTACTCAGATATCTGTAGCTTTTATTTTAATTTGGTCTCTGTTAGTGTCTGCTGAGATGAAGTGTGCAACACTAAAGGAATATTGTGATCATTACTCCTTTTGTTGCACACACGATCCCTCCATTGGCAGTGGATTCACCAGCTTGTTTCATTCCCTTTTGCACTGCTCAACAATTCTTGTATTATTTGGATTTTCTCTGCTAATCTATCAAAATTTAAGCTGACCTCTTTCAGACTTTACTACATATTATGATTTTAGTTGTAATCTAAAAACTGTAGGTGTTCTATTCTGTAATATTTTTGTGACTTTGGTTAGTTCTGAGCTGAAACATTAATATTGTGAAGATGACAATTTAATGCATGAAGGGAACAAACATTACTTGAGGACCACAGAAAAATTTATTCATTGAGTCTAGTAAGGATGAAAAGCAAACCTTGCTAAATAATTTGTCCTCCAGACATTTAACATACAAATTAGGAAAATCCAATGCCACTGTTACCGTTTCAAATGTAGTAATCCAGCTAAACTAAGTCCATGAGCTAAGCATACATTATTCTTTGAGCAGTGATGGCCCTCCACTATATGTATGGAAGCACACTTCACAAACATCAAGGTTACCAAGCTTACCATGGTTACCATGATCTCTAGGAGAAAACCACTGCTCTAGTAATAGAGTTACATCTCAAGGTTGCCAAGAAACTACCTACAGATGGGCTACTGGTCAAATTTACTAAATGCACTGTAGACCAGTCAGAGAAAAGTTGTCCTTTTTGGGACAATTAAAACGTTGTGTTCCAATAAGTGAGGTAACACAAGATGCTATACCATACTTTCACATCCTCTATCTAAGGAAGACAGTGGCAAAATACATGAAAATATATCGCTTATATGTGAGGTGTATGTAAAACATTAAATTATCTTTTAATTATTTATTAAAACTTACATCACATCACATTTTAAGACAAAGTAATACAATATTTTGTTGATGACTGTTGTATTTGCTCTTGTGGTCATGGTGGTGTTGATGGTGATGTGGGTGTCAGATGGATGCTGTATCTGATGTGCGTAAGAGGTTAGTTGTGTAAGTACTGTGGGTGCCATGATTGTTGCATGACACATGGGTCTCATTCTGACATTGTATGTGATAAGGATTTCAACTGGATGCTGAATGTAAGTGTTGTATGTGAGAAGGTTGTCAATGTGGGTGTTGCGGGTGTTATTGTTTTTTTCTGGGAAGTGTATGTGTCATGACTGTATTATGCATCTGTGCTTGTTGATGTAGCTTACATGGGTGCCCTTTGCAATGGCGGTGAGAAATGGAGGTTGTATGTTATGTCATTATAATGTATGCTGTATGAAATATAGTTGCAGTATGGGTAAACGTTGAATTAAACTATTGCAAGTGATGTCTTGCTCCAAAATTGGGAAGTTGTCTCCTAAAAACAGAATGTATCCATTCCTGCTGTATGTAGTAACTATGATGTAAGGTTTAAAACTGATTGCCTCGATACATATAGTTACCATGGGAGTGCCATTTATAATAAGTGGATTTGGAACCAATTGTTGGTAGAGGAACATACATAAATATTAACAGTGTCATGTATTTATCTAAAATATGTCAACCTAAAATTCACATTTTTGTATCTAGGTCAAATGGTGCAGGTGATGCAAACATCATAGCTGACTGAAAGCAAATAATTACAGCCACAACCAGAATATGATGTCATGTACAACGCTACGGAATTTGTTGGCGCTATATAAATAATATCATAATAATAATAATAATAATAATGTAGCCCAGGTACTTGGAACAAATCCTGGTATATAAAAAGTTTTCTATTCAAAAACAAATGATACTGAAGGTCAGAGCAATACCTGTAAGGTGTCAGAATGTTGAGTGGTGGAGGTTTGTCACATCGCTGGTAAATTTCCATGACAGGATTAGGAATGGAATTCCGAGACACCACCTGCTGATTCTGCACCGTGGAGCTTTTAAATGCTTTCCGCATGTTAATGTCTTGCAAGGAGACTGTAACCAAATAAATACAGGTAGATGTTTTATAGAGACAATTAGATAACAAAAGATGAGTGACTTAACCTGCAGTACTCTAACTGCTGTTGGACTACCACTTCCATCCCATTATTTTCTATCAACCAAAAATGAATATGAAAATATGGGATTGCAGTTTACCTGCAATTAGATGGGCCGACGGTTACACTGCATATTTAACTTTTTTTTTTATAATTGAAGTTTATTGTTTCACATCCAGTTAATACATCTGCAATACTTTACATTAACATTGCCACATAATTAAATATACAAGGTCGACCGTTACAAATACAAGTATAAGGCTAAACATCTTGTCGTACATTATTCCATACATTTCCCCCCCGCTGCATTAGCGTACAATAAATGACAGGCAATTACATCACTTTCTAGATTTATGCAGTAAAGGTTAGGGTGGCGGATACACTCGGCAGTTAGGCGTGAGGCCCTCCTTATGCTCTCCTCTATGGGGGGTGAATGGCTAGAAGGGCATGTGATATATATTGAGTAGCATGAGTGTTATTTTGGCAGATGAACTCAAATGATACTAGTTCGTGGTAAATACAATCAAATACAATTCAAACAGAAAGAATAATAAACATACATAAACATTAACGTTCAGATATCCAAACGAGAGCATGCTGGTAATGACTTGTATGAGATAGTGATATTGCGTGGGGTAGTGCGGTCTTGGAGTTGAGTCGTAGAAACGAGCATTGGAACTTGTGTACCCATGAGTTTAGGTTGCAGCTTGCAATTGGAACCCCTGCAGGCTCTTCCCTTTCCCTTGGTGCCCCTGAAGTGCCGTTCTGGTATGTGGATCCTATGTTTCTTTGTTTGTTTTTTACCGTAGTTTAGGTTGGTGGGGTCAAGCTAGCCCTGGGCTCACTTGTCCTGGGGGGTGAAGGGTACAGGGCCTCCCATGGTTCCCAGATTTGTCTTGTTTTAGTATTAGCGATTAGTGAGAGAATGGCCATATGCTCATATGCGTAGTTAAGTTTTATCTTATCTATCAACATTGTTTCTGTAAGACATAAGTCAGATTTCCAATTAAGAGCTATAATAGCTCTAGCCGGCAGAGCGATGTGTGCCACCAAGGCCCTCCCATGGAACGTCACGCCGGGTGTGAACTCTAGCCAGAGATATACCACACGTTCTAATGGAACTTTTAGGTGGAGTGCCTCCACCAGTTTTGCCACTGTGCCCCACAGTGGTTTAATTACCTACAGTCCCAACAAACATGTAACATGGTGCCCCTTTCTAAGCCACATCTCCATGTTGGCATTATTATTTTGTATTTGTGACTGAGCTTATTCCGGTGTGAGATACCAACGATATATGCGTTTACAATGAGCTTCTATATGTGAGTAGCATCTAATAATGCCCTGCAACGCATTTAATCTCTTGATTGACCTCTCCTGTGGGACTACTTTCCCTGTTTCTTTTTCCCATTGTGACATAAGGGCCATGGGGGTCCCAGAGAGGAGTTTAGGTTTAACCGGTGTTGTCCAGCACAAGGCTAGTAAGAATTGTAGGTCTCTTTCGGCAGGGGTGGCATCATTCGCTGCATAGCCTACATGTTCTAGTAGTACGCTCTTGAGTTGTAGCTGTAAAAAGGTAAATTTTGATGGTAATTGGTATGTATCCTGCAGTGTCGGGAACGGGATCAGTGTACCCCCCGATATCAGTTGGGATATCTGTTTTACTCCCTGATTCTCCCATTGGCGTATAGTTATCCACGGGGAGACACCCTCAGCGCAGCCATTGGTGCCAGCCTGTGGCATTTGGCTGGTGAGGGCCTCATGTTGTGTAGTGCGTTCCACAACATGACGCTGCTGTGGTTGGGTGTGGGGGGGGGTGGGACGTTTGCCTCAGGAGTGGAGGAGTCCACATGTGCGACAACAGTGAAACCCCTGGCATTTGCTGCCTCTCCATATCCACCCATCTCAACAATCCACAGGGTGCGTGGAGGCTAATGGCCTGAGCCAGAAGAGCTGCTCTACTATATGCCCACACCTGAGGGACACCCATGCCTCCTTCTGTGAGAGGCCTCTGCAACACCTCCCTCGCTACTCTAGCTCTACCTTTATACCAGATAACGTCTGTGAATAGTCTCTGCGCCTTGTCGCAGTAGCTCTTAGGTATCTGGATAGAAAGCATCCTGAAAATCTATAACAGTTTGTGCATAGTTAACTTTTAAGACTATTTTAAGACTTCATTGCTTGAGTGACCAAGGGGAACTTGGCTAGTTGTCAAACAATACTAAATTGGTTTGACTACTAAGTGTGGAATGGTGCCTGGTACCATACCCACTGAGGAGAGGTGGAGTGGTTATGGTGCTTGAAATACTCCATGAATCCTGCACCTATTTCACTGATTACATTTGATCTTTATAGTGGTGTGTGAATACCTGACACTGTTTATGGACTCTTACAGAAACAATTGACTAAAAAGCTTGCAATCTAACTAAAGCTATCAAAGCTTAGTCTAGTATAAATGGTAATTTAATGATTTCTAATAGCAGGCTGTCAAATGAAAAAGAGACACTGCTCCATTATTTTATGTCATTTTATTGCAGCCATATGCGATATGTCAGGAGTTTATTAATATTCACATGAATTATTTCCTAATGAACACATGGCTTGATTAATGAATTAATAACAAGCTAAGAAAATGTTTAGCATTTCGGAAACAAACGATCTTTCCAAGTAGGTCAGCTGGTTCTGAGTACAGTGTCGGAGGAGCTCAGAAGTGCCTTAATTAATTGAATTTCATATTTGCCAATTACTGAAAGTGTTTTGTAGATATTCAGAAAAGGGTTTGCATTCTATTTAGCAGACATCTGAAATATCTCTCATGGGGATTTGTTCTGAAAAGCAGTGATAAGTCAGCCAAAACTACGATGAGCTGTGATAATAATCAACACTTATTTTGTCTAAAACATATTCTTTAAAACGTGATGAAGCATATACAGATCAGTTTACTGGAGTTCACTCTTTGAAAAATCATCATTGCAATAAAGTTACACAAGAATGGTATTATAACTGTGTGTATCTTATCTACTAAATCGTGGAAAAAGAGCTCTCCAAGCAAGTGGCAAAATAGATGGACAAAGTCACTCAAGCATGGAAAAACAAACACATTTTAACTGTAAATCATACACTGGTTGTAGGCAGACAAAGGACACTGCGAGTCCACTAAATCATTTGCATAACAGCTGTCAGACCTTCATTAAAGTGAAAAATATTAAACAAAGTTAAAACTTGTAGAGAGAGATGTGATAACAAAATAGCTAAATTTCTATAACGGTACCAAGCTCTTTTTTCTCAGGATCAGCTTACTCTTGCCAGCTGTTGTTCAGGCATTTGAATAAATGATTCTGTTTAGATGCAAACTAGGTGAGGGAATCAATTAGGGTGGTGACAATACATGTGTGTATTTTGGAATTTCCTCTCTTAACTGATTTTGTTCATAAGTCCCATCTTTAGGACAACAATTCTTTGACTTGTATCAACATACTAATGATCAGTTCCTCTGCTGACTATGATATTAGGGTATACCATCAACCTATCATGGATTCAGTAGAACAGTCCCAAGTTTGAGATCCTGTTCCAACGGCTCGGGTTTATCCTCTGATGTTCCTGCTCAGGGAACTCTAGGGAATTCCCCTAATACTCAATGCATTGAGGGTGTGTGACAATACTTAAATTGCTTTACAAGTGTTCTGAAAATGTGCAGCCCTCCGTGGGGCAGGCAAAGGGGGTTATCAGTGAACCAGGCATGAATTCACACCATGCTGACCTGGCCCTTTCTTAGAATGGACTCGCCTCCTGTCTGTACCCACAGCATCACAGATATAACCTTCTGATGGCCCACCCACCCTGAACCAGACTTCATACCTCTGAATGTTGGAGGGTCATTTTTAAAGGCAGTATGGAAGGTGGTAAGAGCAAAAATCATAGGCAGATGATTTTTACGCACGCAGCACTCGATGATCCTGTTCACTGGACAAATGTCAAAATTATCACTTTATTTGGAGTTATTGCTATTTTTGTATTGCTATTTTTGGTCTGTAAGAAAAAAAGTTTCATTTGTATCTTTATAAACATGTACTGCTGGACTTCGAGATAATCAGGGCCTGTTATTCTTCCTAGTTTGGCCCTGCAGCCACCAGTATATCAAGTGCATCTCGATGGAAGAAAGAGTAAGTGGAGATATTGAACTCACATTTACTTGTACCTATATTGGAGCTCCTGCCCTTTTAATCAATTGTCTAATCTGCTTATTGCCAAAATCAGAACAGAAGATCTTTAAATTACCTTCTTCCACGGTAGAATCCAGCTGCGTGACTTTAATGACCAGCAAATCCACCCTCTCTTGCAGGGAGTTCATCCTCATATAGAAACTATTGGCTTCATTAAACAGCTCTCCAAATATGTCCTCTGCATGGCGACCTGAAGCAGATGGATAAACATCACTAATGTATTAAAGAAATGAATACTGTTTTCTTGGTTTTTCGCCCAAGGGTACCCACAGGGTCCCCCCTATCATTTTGGGATAGAAGGGGTGCAATTCTGTAGTTTATTTCACCACATGAAGCTTGGAGCTACAGGCTCATGCGACTGCTTGCTTCAGTGTTCAGGCTCCGCCCCCTGGATTGTATTTTTAATTTGGTCTACAATTGTTTTTCATTCACAATTACAAAACATTCTTTGAACATTGACTACAATCGTCTTTTGTGGTCTATCTGGCTATTTGCTATTGTTGGAAGTAGCAGTTGTATTTAAAATGAATAAGAACACCACACTTAAAATACCCATAGACATTTTGTTAGCACTTTGGGTGAAAAACAGTGATTTAGACAGTTGTCTTGTACACCATGGCAAGAGGTGTTCCTCATCCTTTTGACTGCATATTGACTTTTCTTGCTAGATTACCCCTTTGATAATGTGTCTTAGATTTGGGCCTACTGACAGAACTTTACTTCTCAGTATGTACTCTCCCTCCAGTGTTAATTTCCTGGTTAGTGTAAACCTCCCAACTGCCCCGATTTCGGCAGGACAGTCCTGATTTCCAGGTCCTGTCCACTCCAGCTATCTCGACTTCAGTTCCATTTTTGGAGACACCAGGGAACTGTCCCAAACAAGAATAGTGTGAGAGCGTCATTAGATATACTCATGCTATGCTTATGGTACTAGGACCCTGCAGAGAGGACTGAAAGAATGCTCCCTGCAAGGCCTGTCCTCAGTGGGATGACCTTAGATCACAGACAGGCAGCCTGGCGTGCAGTAATGCCAGGCCGACCGATCAGTAAAATGGATGGACCGGCCCCATTACTGGGTGGGTCTGACACTTTTAGGAACCAGTGATGCAATTGCTTTTGAGTTAGGAAGTATGTTAGTAGTGATGCTATAAGGGTTGCATTTTTTTGCATACTAAACTGCTACATGTATACTGTGATAGCTATAAAATATTACAGATTATTGATTGAGCAAAGAATCACAAATTTTAGCCCAAAAAACTCAAATTGGAAAATGTATCTAGCACAGCTATTTACAAGTTCAGCTATTGTGACTGACAATTTCACTTCCCCGGTCAATCCTCCAATTATGTTTTAGGGGGACTTTAATCACAGTATGGTTTAGATATGTTAATAACCTCAAATTAAAATCAAAATGGTACTTTATCATCTTTATCCTCACTAATTGTTTCATCACATATTCAAAGTAGTGCAACAAAGAGCCAAATTGGTCTTATCTAAAAGATATGTGCTTGATGTTTTGTTCTACGTTCTACTTTATTGTGAGAAATAATACCACAGAATGCAAAAATGTATAAAATGACATTAAATGTACTCACTCAGACTTCCCAGCTGTTTGATTATAGCGGCCAGGGTACTGTTGGTGACACATTCAAGCTCACTGGTGACTGCATCCGGCACAATTCCTCGGCACAAGTGCCGTGGCTCAATGTTCCTCTTAACCAAAGGCATGTTCTCTGATGGGCCAAGCTGTAAGAAATATCAAAGAGAGGCTGTGAAACAGGATTAATTGGATGGACTAATACTAATCTTTCTCTTGAAGATGACAGTTACCGATGTTGTTTGAGACATAAAAGTCTAAAATCAGTCAAGACATCCAACAGAACACTCGTACTCCTAACATTTACAGGTCAATGCTCAAATGAAAATGCACATATATAGTCTAGCAGTCACTATTTTGGGGTTTTAATATATTAGTCATTTAAAAGAAAGTGTGAAACAAAAGGACTTATGTTGAATCTCGGAATGCAGGAGATATAAATGGCAAATCATTTTTTCTTTTATTTTGGACTTAAAAAACCATAAAGAGCTCATAAAATGGACATATAATAGGGTCAAGGTGAGGCAGTAAGACTAATGATTCAACTTACTGAAGTCTCTCTTTTGGAATGCCTAAGAACGCTCCACTGTTTCTGTATTGTTTTTATATATTATCCACGAGTATCCACTCCTAGCCATGTACATTCTAGCATGTAGCCCTGCCTTAATGGAGAAAGCCTCCAATTATCCAGAATAACAACAATTGCATTTTGCTTAGGATTTCACTTAAGAAGTTCCCATGTATAGCTACAGACCAGGTCTCCTAGCAACTTCACATTTTATTGTTTTATGAGGAGGAAATTCTTTTCAGTTTCACAAGGAAAATATACAAAAGACAGTTATTTTGAAAAGCAATGGCAAGAAACTAAGAGAACATAATGACGAGAAAAAAACAAACAAAATAAACAACAAAGCAAACAGAAGACAGATCAGAAGAAAACCGAATGAAGTGGGCTGTCATGGAATTATTATGGTAATTAGAGCACAGAGGAATAATAAGATCATTATAGGGTGAAGATTACAGAGACTGAAAGGGTTTTGTGAAAACCAACTAGTCAGGGGTCTCCGAGTTTTTAAAGAACCCATTTATAAAATGTAGGAACAATGGTAATATTCCCAAGATAATTCAGGGCAGGAGTTTGCTGTGAACCTTTTTTTCTCTCTTTGTTAACGGGTGGCACATATCAAAGTTAACAAAACCGTAAAAAAAACTAAATGAAAACATATTCTGTGTTTGCACTCATAGTGCCAAGGCTGCACTTTCATCCTTGTTTTAATGAATACGTTTGGGAAAGTTATTTTTGTCAGAACAGAGGTATAGTTTGCTTTTTAGCCTATGTCATACAGTAACTGCCGCTTACAATGAAAAACTACAAAATAACAGCTAGGGCGACGTGATCACGTTGAGATGCCTCTTGTTTAAAAGAAAATAAACTCAGTGTCATGAGTCACTCTTTAAGCGGGATGTCGGTAGTAATGTGTATGTTGACTTGTAGGCCATTGACTGCGCCGAGCAGTTAATCTAATAACTGTTTAGATAATGAGCAGCTTGATGAAGGAAGAGTTTGGGATCCTTTGTTGGGGTCTTTGCTAATAGAAACCAGCACAGTTTGATGTCTAATAAGCCAACTCTGTTGAAAGAGGATTCAGCAAAGAATAAGGTGAATTAATACGGTGTGATTTTATTTGAATTTTTTTTAGAGTTGGATGCTACAATATCTTGCAAGGACATTTTTAGGAGGTCTTTTCTTGTTATTCAGCAGGTGGTATTGGTTGCTGCCTGCTCATGCTGGGAGTTGTTGTCACACCTGCCATTACTTTTTCAGGTGCAGTATCCCGTGGAAGATTGCAAGTAGACTCTTGGAAGTGCTTCTTAGTCGTATCTGGGGGTGGTTGTGGAGTCATATTTGGGGAGGCTTTATTTAGAGGACAACATGCTCCAATACTCGACAGGCTATTGTATAATTAACAATGTGAAAGAGAAAGGGCCCAGTATGCCTGATATGAATAATGACCGTGGGCTTGGAAGTAGAATTGTTGTTAATATGATTACAGTGAGGGGAAAAAGTATTTGCTCCCCTGCTAATTTTGAAATTTTGCCCACTGACAAAGAAATGATCAGTCTATAATTTTAATGGTAGGTGTATTTTAACAGTGGGACAGAATAACGAAACCAAAAAATGCAGAAAAACGCATGTCAAAAAAGTAATACATTGATTTACATGTCAAGGAAGAAATAAGTATTTGACACCTTCGACTTAGTACTTGGTGGAAAAACCTTTGTTGGTAATCACAGAGGTCAGACGTTTCTTGTAGTTGGCACCAGGTTTGCACACATCTCAGAAAGGATTTTGTCCCACTCCTCTTTGCAGATCATTTCCAAATCATTAAGGTTTCGAGGCTGACGTTTGGCAACTCAAACCTTCAGCTCCCTCCACAGATTTTCTATGGGATTAAGGTCTGGAGACTGGCTAGGCCACAATGTGCTTCTTCTTGAGCCGCTACTTAGTTGCCTTGGCTGTGTGTTATGGGTCATTGTCATGCTGGAATACCCATCCATGGTTTGTTTTTTGTTATTCTGTCTCTCACTGTTCAAATAAACCTACCATTAAAATTATAGACTGATCTATTTTTTGTCAGTGGACAAATTTTAAAAATTAGCAGGGGATCAAATACTCCCCCCCCCCCTTACTGTAGATCCCAGGTATACTTATAGGACACATCTCCTGGCAATTTATACTTTTTTCAGTTTCATGTTGAGCACATATATAGACAATGTGGAAAACTAATGGCAAAAATACCTCAAACAAGATTAGTAAATTAATTAAAGACAAAATGAACACTGTTAGGCAAAAAATGAATCCTGCAGCAAATTCAATGAAGGGGTTGCCATGAGGTAGCGGACAATGTTGTGATTATCGTGGTCAATATGGAAAGAAAATTTATCATCACAGGCTGATGGTTGCGGTTATGCAAAGGGTATTTTTTTAAGATGACAAGTCGCACAAGATATTTTTTAAATGTATCCATGTAAAGAATGGTAGGAGGAAAATTTGAAAAGGTCACAACCTCACCCATTTAAAGATAGCTTGTAACCAGTGGTTACCAATGCCATGGTCAACTAGAGTTTTAAGATTAAGCATAGCACTCTCAATCTCATTTATATTAAGATATGTGTAAACCCCTCTTATATTTCTTACTACAAATTATTATTAAGGAGTATACCCTATTCTTTAGTTTAAAAAATCCTGTTAAATAACATTTTTAAACATAATCCACCAGTGAAAATGAGATGCACCATTAAAAAACAAGAAATGGCACACAAAAATAATCAAAAACTGATTATAGGGGGAAAAAATTACAAGAGTATTTGTAGGCCCCTGTGATTGCTGATTGGCTCTCAACTGCATTATGACTGGCTAGGTGTACATTTAATCAATGACAATGTAGCACTGTTGATACTCCACTGACTCTCTCATAAGTCCTGCTTGTACAGTGCTGCTTTGCGAGTGAATGGGTATCTTACCAGCCAAGTCAATGCCCTGCAAAGGGCTTGCCATGATACAAATGTCAGTTAAAACTTTTGACACAAAGTAGCTGAAATTTAAACTGTGACGGCATGGGCGTAAGACACAATAAAATGTGCTTTTGGGGGATTCAAAAATATTTTAGATGAAAATAGCTACATTTTAAGAAATATCAAACTCAGATTTGTTTCAGTTTGGCTATTATATTGCAAAATCACCTTGGGGCATTAAGCCAATACTAAGAGATCTACACAGGGTGGGGTTAGACAGACAGACAGTCCATCAGCACGCCAGGTCAACAAACCACTTTTTCTGTCGTAACTTTACACTTTTGGATGGTTCCACCTCTTCCTCCACCCTTCCACTGATTCCACATCCATACCACTCATTGTTGAGGGACATGCAAAGTGTTGGGTGTTTTGGAAACAAAGAAGGCAATTACATTGATTGCCTTGTTTGATTTCTGTACGTTAATAAAGTCCAGGCAAAATGTATTGTAAATAATTGCAATTAAATAATGTTATTTTCGGGAAAAAGCCATTATTAACAGATCGTTTTTTCCAGGCTTGCATACTTACCTAGCCTTACTCCTTTCAACCTTATTTATTACTAAGAGAACCAGAAATGTTAATAATAAATGCCACTATTAAAAATGCAATTCTGAAGTGTTGATTAATTTGACCATTGAAAGTGAAGCATAATTATATATTTGTTCAAGTGATTGCTAGAGTCGGATTAAATGTCAAAGGCATTCTAGCTGTGTGACATTTTTTTTTAATTACCGCACACACTGCTTGACATTCGTTATTTCCTGTGAATCTTTACTTCTATAATACACGAACGACAATTACGGATCATCTCACCTCCCTCATCTGGAAATATTGTGTGCATCAATAATCTAACATTTAATCCAAAGAAATTCAGTGTATGTGAGCTAAGCTAAGAATCTGAATGCTTTCTGGTCAAGGAGAATTATTGTGGCACCTTTGCATAAAACATAATTAAAGGGCCACTATAAGCATTATAGCTTATTACAGTGGTTATTTTGCAAAAAAAAAAGGATTTGGGTGCCATCAAAAAATCAAGGATCGACCTCACCTACCCTGCCCGACTGTCAAGCAGAGAGGTTGCATCTTGGCAGAGCTCCGTGAAAACTACTCTGTATTACTCGTTTATTTCTCGTATCTACCAACCTACCACTGGCAGCTACCACTTGAAACTCCTGTGGGCTTTAAAGTAATCAGCTTTGAAGCAACACCGACCACTTTTGACAGATCTCCATCATGGCCTATTCGCAGTGGTGTGTGGGAGACATCCGATCATTCTACCACTTGATTCTAGCATCCACAGTGCCTGCCGGTGTTACTCCCCCCTCACCGGTGAGGGATATACCAACACTTACCCCTGTGTCCTTGTTGATAATTCTACTGGATAGCAGACTGCAAGCTGGCACATTTTGAATCATGGCGGATACCAACCACTTACTCAGCCCCAAAGGTCAGGCATCCCCGACTCTGACAAACCTAGATCAACTGTTTGCTAATTCCACTCTGCCTACCAATCAACTACGGAGGGCCATTCTTGCACTACCAGTGAGATCCGGCCCTGCTGAGGTGAAGAGTTGTGCATCGCCAACAAAGTCGGTTCACTTCCGAGGCGGAGGAGCGTGACGGGCTCTTACACACAAGCGGAGACCCTTCGAAAGTCCCAAAGGAGACCATTCAGAGACCTCGCAGACACCGACTGTGCTGCCAGGGAAAGAGGCCTGTTACCGGACTGGTGGTAGGATTTCCACGGTCACCTCTGACAGTCATAAGATCCTGGGAGCGGCCTGATCATCCCCTGTGGACAGATAAAATAGAAAGGTGAACAGCGCTAAAAATCAGAAAATGTACATACGTTTTGTAGAAATACTGGCCAGCAGAGTAACTTAAAAAAAAAAGAGAAACAAAAATACAAATAATGGTACAGTATGTATGAACGATATAATTCCACAAGAACAAAGGTGTTATATTCACACTCACACTTTGAGGAGCTATATCAGCTCGTTGTTAAGAGCCTGGACGGAATAATCCCCGTCTATGGATTTCTTGAGGTTCAAGACCGTTGGTGAATTTATAGGTGTAAATATTGGTTACATGAAAAACAAAAGTAAAATACACCACATGGTATAGTACGTAAATATAAAATATTGTGAAAAAAAAAGTGGATGATCCTACTTACATATACTAGAGCAACGACCTGCTCTAGTTTGGAGAATTTCAGGTGGAATAATCCCCACCTTGGGATATAGTGGACCCAGGTATAGCAGCAAAGCAGTATTGGATAGGAAGGAGGACAAAAGGAATGACTGGATAGTTTAAAAAATATATATACTTTAATACAATAAGTAAAAAGTGAATAATAAACTATAAAACCAGTCCTGTTTAAAAGTCCAAAATTCTTCCTCACTTAGAAGTGAGAAAGAATTTTGGACTTTTAAACAGGACTGGTTTTATAGTTTATTATTCACTTTTTACTTATTGTATTAAAGTATATATATTTTTTAAACTATCCAGTCATTCCTTTTGTCCTCCTTCCTATCCAATACTGCTTTGCTGCTATACCTGGGTCCACTATATCCCAAGGTGGGGATTATTCCACCTGAAATTCTCCAAACTAGAGCAGGTCGTTGCTCTAGTATATGTAAGTAGGATCATCCACTTTTTTTTTCACAATATTTTATATTTACGTACTATACCATGTGGTGTATTTTACTCTTGTTTTTCATGTAACGAATATTTACACCTATAAATTCACCAACGGTCTTGAACCTCAAGAAATCCATAGACGGGGATTATTCCGTCCAGGCTCTTAACACCGAGCTGATATAGCTCCTCAAAGTGTGAGTGTGAATATAACACCTTTGTTCTTGTGGAATTATATCGTTCATACATACTGTACCATTATTTGTATTTTTGTTTCTCTTTTTTTTAAGTTACTCTGCTGGCCAGTATTTCTACAAAACGTATGTACATTTTCTGATTTTTAGCGCTGTTCACCTTTCTATTTTATCTGTCTATTTATCACAAGGTAGAGGAACACCTTGTTGGTGAACTGCTGCTCACCCCTGAGAAGAGAGCGCTTATTATTCTTTTGCATTTGATCATCCCCTGTGCATCTCCCTACTGGAGCCGTAGGCTCTCTGGCTAATGACTCTACCGCGAGACTTTGCATCACCTACAGCCAACATTGGCTAATCAGGACTCTGGCCATAGGTCTCTGCCACCATATTGCAGTCATTGCACCTTAGCAAGGCCCAAGTCAGTTGATAATCAAAATTCCTACAATGTGTTGGCTAATAGCCTGTATTTATATTCAGCCACAGGCACTATTATAACTAGCATGTGTTAAAGTTCTATTCCTGTTCCACTCTATAACTTAAATATACTGTGCTTTTTGCAATGCATATCATACTGTAGTATTTACATGTCTAGTCTTTCTCATGAGTCAGACACTTCTATTTGTAGTCTATTTCCAGATGGTATAACTACTCATTCATGTGTTACTTTTTTTTTTTCAAAAAAAGTGCTGCTTCTCTTGATTTTTTATTTTATCATATACGTTATCTGTCATGTCATATGTCGTTACTGACTTGTGTATTTGACACTGCACTGCAAAAACAAAGATTGGGGGAAAAAACGAAGATCTCATGGAACACCAAAACCAGCTCATCTGATCTCCTTCAGGTAATGCAGATGTTTCATACGCCATCTATTCATTGTCTAAGGTGATATGACATTGGACAGATAATATAGAAGTAGAAAATTCACATTAGCTGAACAGCTGCTGTGGGGCTTGTCTAAGCTGCCAAGAGAGACCAACTTCTCAAAATATGTTTGACAAAAAATATAAGAAAAACACCCATAGCCTATATCAGGGGTAGGCAACCTTTTAGCAGAACTGTGCCAATATAGGATTTTTAAATTGAGGTGTGTATGCTGCCGTATTCTGCTTGTGTTATTTATACTGTAATTGCTTTGTATCGTTGTATTTGTGCGTATATGAGCTATTATATTGTATATGTTCATGAGTAGATTGTGGTATCGTGTGTGATACATATGAATGTGGGCTGTGTATGAGGGCTGCTTGTGGAATTGTGTGTGTGGATGGATATGTCACATTGTGTGTGTATGTGTGGGGGCTGTTTGGGGTATTGCATGTGAGAGGCTGCATGTGGGGTTGTGTGCATGTATGTGGATTGTTAGTGGTGTTGCGTTTGTGCGGATTGTGTGTATGTTTGTGCGGATTGTGTGTATGTTTGTGTGTGGGCTGTCTGTATTATTTGTATGAGGGGAGGGTCTTTCTGCTTTTCTGTGTATATCTAGCAGTGTGGGTGGCTTCCCTGGGTTCCAGTGGGGACCATGTTGGCCAGGTACAGGTCAAGGACAGGAGCTGCAACAACAACTGCGAGCTGCTCTACTACAGTGTGGACTCCTATTTACAAGTGCTCGGAGGAAGTGATCTGAGATCACTTCCTCTACGTGCTGCAATGCATAAACTGAGGATTGTCCTTCACCACCTCTTTGTATTAGCAGATATCTGAAGTTTTACTGGGACTCCTGATAGGCCAGAGCCTGTTTGGCTCTAGCAGCCTTGAGTGCCGTGCAAAGGCACCTCGAGTGCCGTGCATGGCACTAGTGCCGTAGGTTGCCTACCCCTGGCCTATATCATAGCTTATATCATACCCCCTAAATATACATCTATTTATTTTTCCAGTTAACTCCCAGGAAGTTTATATTATCATTTTTACATAATTGTCTAGGTTGAAAAAAAGGTGTCTAGGTTGATTAAAGTCCATCTAGATGATGGACTTTATTATTACTCACATAAATAAAAACAAATATAGGAAAAGGTAATAAATAGTGACAGGAAAAGCACAAAGCGTTTCACCTTATGGGTAGGCTTTTTCAAGTGCATTGCAAAAAGCCTACCCATTAGGTGAAACACGCTGTGCTTTGTATATTGTTTCCTAAATTTGCTTTTATTTATGTGAGTTACAATAAAGTTTAATCTATTTTATACTACTGGACTTTCCTGACTTTCCTTACGATAATACATCAGTTTCCTTGGTGGGGAATATACCACCCAAGCGTTTTGGATTGAGCAAAACACTTTTGCTCTCAAAAAAGTGAGTACATTCCCCGTTTTTATATGCTTTTATAGCCACATGGTGTGCACTAGATTAATTTTTTTGTTTAATTTATAACCACAGCAAGGATTTTACCTACCCATAGAAAAAAGAACTCTGCACCTATATCTAAAGAGTGGGTATTATTACACTCCAGACTATATGCAAGGAGCCATTAGAGGGCTCTAACATATGAGAGTGCGCATTTTTATAATATATATAAATTTTGGGTTTCCTGACATATTGCACTATTTTTTGCTTTTGTGTTTATGTTACATATGCATACCTGATTTGGTCGGACCAAGATTTCATCATTATATCCACAGGCGGGGATTGTACTGCCCAGGTGCTACATCTAGAGCTAAAAGATAACTCCCTACACTGTAAGTGTATTTCCTTCTGTTTTTAATTTGGTAATTTGACATATTGCCTCCTTGTCTCCTATCTTTTCCCACTTGGAATTTGAGGACTCCTCCAAGGCACTTCTCCCAATTTTTCATCTCCTCTACTCCATATCAACGACCAGACAAGAGAGACTCTGGTTTGGGGGTAATAGCTGCCTTTCACATTTGGACATTGTAAGCACTAGAAACCTCTTTTATCTTTTATTTTGATCTATTCTAATTGGCTCTTCTACTAATTGAGACATTAAAGTATTGTTTGCCAGGTTCAAAAACCTGTATCTCTTAAATCCCTCTGGCCCAATCAATCTCTGGATAATTAAAATCTCCCATGATTAACAAAATACCGAGTTGTGCAGCCTTATTCATTTGAGATAGCAGTTGATCTTGCCCATCAGTTTTAAAGAGACACTATCGTCACCAGAACCACTACAGCTTAATGTAGTGGTTCTGGTGTCTATAGCATATCTCTGCAGTCTTTTTAATGTAAACACTGCCTTTTCAGAGAAAAGGTAATAAATAGCTGTAGGGAACCTTACAAAACGTATACACGTGTGTCAGCTAATGTAGAGTAGAGTTAAATAGTGACATGGGCTTGAAGTTGAAACATCTATTAAGAGATTTTCTTGATTTAATGGGTCTTGTAATTTCTGACATTTTATTGGGACTTTTGCAACTATTCATACAATAACCTAATAGTTGTATTAGATAAGGGGTGAGTATAGAGCTAAATGTCTTATAATATGGTTGGCACAACTAGGATTTATGTGGAGGGAGAGCTGCTATGGGTTTGTTAATTTTACCCACAGTAAACTGTGCCATTAAACATTGGTTACAGTCGGTATTAAGGACATTAAGGATATTAACTTGAAATTTAAATAAATTAGTGAAAGATTCTTAATAGTCTACAAATTAACTGCTTATCATTATGGGGTTCAGAATCCCATTATCTGAATTATCTAATAGTTATTTGTTATTTGTCCTCAGATCTAAAAATTAGTTGAGCTTATTCCCCAATATATAATATTTATCGGATAAGTTGCATCATAGGCAAAGAATTTTATCCAATTATGAAGTTATGCAAAGCAATGTCTACTAGTTTAGGTCAGCTTCCTTAACCCTTTTATCTCATAGTTCCTTTTGGTGAGATAAAATGTTTATTAAGCAACTCCTAATATATGCTTTATGTGTGCACTAACCTGGAGATGAAGATGTATCTGTGGAACCACAAATTCTGAAAAATTCTCTTTTGCTTGCTAGAAAATAAACATTATCTTTGTTATGGAGAATGGTATCACCAAGGTGCCAAGAGGCACATGTATTGCCATACAACTCCCTCAAATAAGAATAAAGGGGAAGTGATGTAAACATGTCATATTACCAAACTGTACTTGTCCTAGAGGTGGTAAGAAGTGTAACGATAGAATTAATTTATCTATCCTTGTGTCATAAGACGAGGCATTAGATCAAGAAACCTAAGTGCACTTGATATACACTCAAGAATGCATAGCTTATGCATAGGTTCCCTATTCCATTGAGATATAGGTGCAGATATATTATAGTGATAACTATCGAAAAGAGAGGCAAGGTTCTAAATATAGTGCAATCACTGTGGAAACCAATGGGATATTTCTGGTAAATCCATTGAATATGATGTTAATTACTCCAGTTTTCTCCTAGCAACACATTTGCAAAATTCCACTATTGTCTTCAATCTTAAAATGCTGCTACGCAATTAAGCCACACGTAGTAAACACAATTGTGGACATGTTAGTTCCCTCCCCCCCCATGTTTATGGGGTGCATTGTCAAGGATGATGTCTGTTTAAACGGACAGATGGTTGTGTTCTATATAATAAACATTAATCGATGCAGTAGTATAACACAATAACTGTAGTACTGCTGTTATTTTATATTCATGGTACATTATCTAGAACATGTCTAAAGTTCTCCCTCTGATTTTGTCTCTTTGCTTCCATCTACTGGATAGATTTATTTATTACACCTCTGCATTAAAATTCGCACAGTTTTCAGAGCCACAACGTATTAAAACTCAGCCCATTTCCCCTATTTGACTACTGTTTAAATGTGCTGCTTTGTAAAAGTAACTTCATAGTCTCCTCTCACTTCTGTGTCTCCAGTCTGCTTCAACATGAACTATCAACTTTTTGGGGCCAATTCTTCTTCCACTCGGCAGGTATCCTAATCTCCCGTCCCGTTTGCTCTATTTTATCAATTTCACCCACAACCGATCATCTCTATTCCCGGGCATGCTTCTGCAAAATAACTTACAATGCCAATCAAAAGACTTAGAAACATAGAATGTGATGGCAGATAAGAATCATTCGGCCCATCTAGTCTGCCCAATTTTCTAAATACTTTCATTAGTCCCTGGCCTTATCTTATAGTTAGGATAGCCTTATGCCTATCCCACGCATGATTAAACCCCCTCACTGTGTAACATAGACATTTTGACATTTATTACATAGTTACATAGCTGAAAAGAGACTTGCGTCCATCAAGTTCAGCCTTCCTCACATTTGTTTTTTGCTGTTGATCCAAAAGAAGGCAAAAACCCCAGTTTGAAGCACTTCCAATTCTGCAACAAGCTAGGGAAAAAATTCCTTCTTGACCCCAGAATGGCAGTCAGAGCATATTAACTGTATATTTTTGGAACCTTGCTGACAGGACACAATATAAGTGCATTGATCCTATTTAGTGCAGAGATACATTGAGTTGAGTGAAAAAGATAAATGCTCCAAGTGTGATTGGCCAGCACCAAATCTATTATTCCTTCTTCCTCTGTCCACATGTAGTGACCTTCTAGAATAATGATTCTGCATTAGCTGGAGATCCCATCCTTCAACAATGTATAAATGTTGGACCTCCTTCATTAACCCTGTTTAAATCTTTTTAGGCTCCATTGGTTGGAGCATGCACTGTTGTAATTATAGCTACAAAATTCTTTCATTTATGGGGAAATTATAGTTTATACATTAGATGGACGTATTCAAGGTTTGCTGAAAATAGCATTTCAGGATACATCTTGCTATTTGACTCAATCAAGTCAAATACAATTATATATACATCAATAATGATGGAGGTTGATTTTATGTTTATTTTTAAAAAAAAATTATTCTCTGTTTTTGCAGTGCATGCAGACAGGCATCAGAGGGTTCATGGCAGTAATGCAAATACATGTTCAGAAATGCAAAATGGTCAATACTTGTCAAAAATACAGCACTTTTAACATTTATATGGAAGATAACTTCTTAGGTTTCTCTGAGACTTTAAACATGGCATAGAAAAAAACTAAGAGAGAAAAAAATGAAAATAAATAAAATAAATAAAGCTCTCAGGGGGAGCATTGTCTAATTCAGGCAATGAAGTGTGAAGTTAGGATAGAACGAAATATATGCAGAGCCGTGTGGTGTAGAGAAGTCAACCATTAAACAAAAGGTTAGTAAACCACTTGCTCAAACTGAAAGTAAGGGTAGGGGTGTGGGGGTATTTCGGAGTGCTTACCTAATGTGGAGTCAGCTTGGCTGATGCTTAGGAGGTGAGCAGGGTAAGACTTCAAAATTTAGGTGCTCAGCCTTAGAGGGGTGAGTGTGTTGTCACGCTGTGCTGTCCCTTGCGGAGCAATTAAGTGGAGTGGATTACATAAGAAGGCTGCCCATCTCTGCCCAACTCTCTGTGCTGGGTAGGAGGCTAATTTAGGGACTCGGTATGGACAGAGCAAGCAATGAGGTGCGTTATGTTATGCCATAGACTTTAGTGATGTGGGAATGCCAGCTATGTGTATGTAGACTCCAAGCGCTAGGCTACCCATATGTTTATACAGTATGGTTTGGGAGATGCACGGTGGAGTTGATAAGGACCCTGTGGATCTATGTAAGACCTGGAACATAATGTGGGGATAGTACTATTAATATATTTAAAATAAATAAATCTTAATAGTAAAGACACAGAAATGGCATTATCAAAGAAAATATAATCAGTCTCAGCTTTGAAGCTGTGGTGCGGCCCTTTGGTCAGGTATGCATTTAGAACAGTTAAATCAAGAATAGTAAGCCAACCCTTGGCATTAAGAACTGGTGAGGAAAATTAATGAGAAAAAGGAGAGAAAAAAATAATAATAAAAAACAAGTAATAATGTGTCCCATTGTTGTATCTTTGGCATGGCCTGGTATTCAGAGGTGCAGAGAGCGAGTCCAGTGGTTAAACATACGTGATGACTGTATTAAAAGTAGAGTGCAGTGAAGGAAGAAAGGAACTAGAATTAAACAAAGTATTTACAGTCCTAGCCGTTTGGATGAAAACTAAAATGCGAGGGCTACCCCATCGGTAAGGGATACCTTTTTCTCGTAGGATGGTGGTTTCGGGTCTTAGTGTATGTCTCCCCAGCAACGTGGCCCTGGATAAGTCAGAGTAATATATAAGTGTGAGCACTTCAAATTCACATGTTGAGGTACCTCTCACCACAGTCAGGATTGCCATTCTATCCAGGGAGGACACAAATTGCACAATGAGGTCCCTGGAAGACAGATTGAGGTCTTTCGCCGTCCGCGGGAGGCGGTAACAGCCATCCAAAATGATAGTCTTGGCTCTTTTCAGTGGCAGTAGGTTGGCGAACAACCGGCGTAGATAGTGTGGTAGCTCAGCCGTGATCACATCCTTGGGAACTCCCTGTATTTTGATGTTCTTGGGGCAGGTTCTGTCCTCTTGTTTTGCAGTGAAGCTTTCGTGAGCTTTAAACAGTGCAGTATGTGTTTCTTGCATTGCAGCCTGTTTGGTCTGCACCTCCACCACATCCTCCTCCGTTGCTCTTACCCTGCCTGTAAGGGAGTGCATGTCCTCGCGGATAATCGCGAGGTCGGCTTGAAAGAGGGAACGAATGTCCCTCAGATGGGACTTTATATCTCGTTTGGTGGCTGACGTGTCCGCTTCCTCATTGGAAGACACCTGATGAAGGCTACCCTTCGTAGGTAGGTCATCCAGTGTATTCAGGTAAAGGTCCTCTTCAGAGTACTTCGGAGGCCTGCGCGGTCATTTTAGATGCACCACGTGGCGCCTTGCTGAACAACAGGTCTCCAAAATCTTGGGATCCTTGCTCCTTAGTATTATTCAGTTTCTTTAACTTCTTCCCCATCAGATCACCGACAAGTGGCAGCTTTTGTGGTTAGTATCAGTGTCAAATCAGCCTGTAAATGCCCCAATTAAACACTCTGTCATACGGAGCTCAAGCTAAACACGTCTTGTCAGGCAGCATGTAGCTTCGCCCTCCTTTATGTATTCTTTAAGTTAGATGTCTTTGTCTTTCATTTCCTCTAGTAGTGTGTTTGTGGGAGGGATAGTGGGGTTACAACAAATAAAATTATCCATATATTAATTTTAGTTATAGATTCAGTACAAAGAAGATTTTCTAGTCTATTGTTAAAACATTAAACATCATGTACTTACTCATATTGTAAGTAAAAACACAAAACATGATTCTCATAGGAAGATAATTCATTAATAAGGCACAATTCCATATTTATCAATAAGCCTACTACTCCCACAATGCTCAATTGGCCTTAGGTTGACTTTGACATCATGAGATCTACAAATACCTTCAAGTATTAACATGTCTCTCAACCATTCTATTGAAGAAACTCCCTTAGCTGAGAGACGTGCCCAACAATGCAATCTGACCAAGTTTATAGCAACTTTATAAATGTTTATTACATACTTTTCAAAGTTATTCTTACTTTCTTTTGGTTTTGAATAGTTGTTTAACCCCTTAAGGACTGAGCCAAATATACACGTTGTAATCAAAACAACACAAAACTTGTAAACAAAACTTTGCGCTATATGTCTGTTCAGGCGTAATTCATCTCTTTCATATTATGTGCACCCACACTTATTATATATCGCTTTATTCAGGGGACACAGGGCTTTCATTTAACATAAAATATTTAGGTATGAAACATAATTCAATATGAATAAAATATAAAAAATATGGGAGAAAATAAGAATTTTAAATTTTTTGTAGTTCTACGTGACATTTTAACTGTGAATGTCATAATACTGTTTGCTTTTACTGCAATAAAATACACATATTTGTATTCAGCGATGTTTCACGTGTTAAACAGTACCCCCCTACGTACAGGTTTTATAGTGTTTTGGGAAGTTACAGGGTCAAATATAGCATGTTACATTTTTCAGTTTTTTCACATTGAAATTCGCCAGATTGGTTACGTTGCCTTTGAGACTGTATGGTAGCCCAGGAATGAGAATTAACCCCATGATGGCATACCATTTGCAATAGTAGACAACCCAAGGTATTTCAAATGGGGTATGGACAGTCTTTTTTAGTAACCACTTGGTCACAAACACTGGCCAAAGTTAGTGTTAATATTTGTTTGTGTGTTAAAAATGCAAAAAACTAATTTGAATGCCAATTTTGGCCAGTGTTTGTGACTAAGTGGCTACTAAAAAAGACTGGACATACCCCTTTTATTATACTTTGGGTTGTCTACTATTGCAAATGGTATGCCATTATGGGGGTCATTTTTATTCATAGTGATATATACTTATATACAGTTAGAATAAAATTACACGTATATATATATTTTTTTTAATTGATTATTTTTTAATTTTATTTTTTAACGTATTTACATATATATTTATTTTATATTATATATAAATATATATATATATATTTAATCAATATCAATCTACGTATATATTTTGATATTAATATATATACACAGACAGTGTATGTGCATGTATGTATATATGTGTGTGTGTGTGTATATATATATATTTTTTTTAAACTGTTTTAAAATATTTTATTTTACATTTTTCATCCAGCAGGGGGACTACCTGTCATTACAGGCACTCCCCCTGCCAGGAGGGCCAGAACGGGAGCAGGGGGACTCCCTGACATGGCAGGTAAGTCCCCACATCGCGATCACCGGCGTGGGATCGCTGACGACCGGGTAAGTACATAGGATGGCGGGGACGTGCTATGCCGCCCCCCGGCGTTTAGAGACTGGTCCCCAAGGACGGCATAGCACACCCGCCGTCCTTAAGGGGTTACAAGTGCTTTCTTGCTGGTTTAAAAAAAATACTTAACTACGTATCCCAGATGACTATGTACCACGAGAATTATATTTAACAGACATTTGCAGCATTTAATGATGACAGATTTATATGAACTACAGTTCCTTTAAGGTTAGTACATTATAATCTCTTTAACTGCAAATTCCTGGAGGCTGAGCATTTTGGGAATTGTTGTCAACGGCAACACCTAATATTGGCAGTGGTTTCTCAATCACAATTTCTATACCAGCCTTTCTGAACCAGTCTTAACCTTTAAAAATGCTGTTAACAAAGAAATATATACACTGTGCATTGCAAATTTTAATTAACTACAATTTCCATGATGGTTAGTAGCCATTTAAGGGACACAATAGCCATCAGAACAACTTTAGCTTATTAAAGCAGTGTAGGTGTTTAGATTATGCCCACTTTAAAGTCACTTTATTTATTCAGCCCTAGTCATACCTCCCTGCTTAAGACTTACACAGACTTCCTAAGCACTTCCTGTAAAAAGAAATCCAATATTCATCACTTAATTTTTTTTAAATTTTTTTTTAAATTTGTATTTTATTAGAGTTATACACAAGGTATGCATCTGTGACATTATATATAAGGAATAAACAATTAAAGATTATGTTAAGGCTCGGCATGGTTCGACAAACTTGGTCGTAGTAAAAAAGACAAAGAAAGGAAAAAAAAGGCAACGTGCATGGACAATATTGATACTTGTCCATAAGTTATGTATAATGATATGCCACATCGTCAAGTGGCAACTGCACACAGGACTCAAAAAGTTATAAAAATGGAAATAGTGAGGCAAACAGCATACTGTCAGTTCAATGGTAACATCTAGGGCATGGCAGAACTGTCCCTGGTGTCAGGCAGGTGTCGCATGGTCAGATTGCTCCGTTTGTTCACTCTCCCTATGGCCCTTATCTCGTGTCTGCCGGGTTTGCCTCTTCTGGCATGTTGGTGGCTGGTAGGCTCAGCTTGTTAATTATCTGATTATCTGAGGAGGTTAGGGTGAATGTTTCTACGCCTTGTGTGACGGCCAAGGAGCCCTCCGCATTCCAGCGGTATTTGACAGAGCAGTCCCGTAGCTTTCCTAGCCACTGGAGCCAGCTGTCTCCTCTCTGCCAGGATGGAGAATGGGAGGTCACTATAGATAGAGAGGTTATGGCCCTTAAAACGCACTTGACCCATAGTTCGGGATTTATTCATGACAGCGATCCTCACCGTAATGTCTCTGGTTGTCACAATGACGTCTCTCGGTGCGTCTGCTGGTGCCACTGCAGATTTGCGTACTCGGAAAGCGGCCAGGATACATGGGGTGTCTGTGGCGGTGTGAACACCCATAGAGGCAAACAGCTTTTGGACATATTGTAGTGTTTCCCCCCCCTCAACCTGTTCAGTTAGGCTTCTCAGGCGCACATTCCGACACCTGTGTCTGGACTCCAGTGTGAGCATCATTTTGTGTAGTTGCTTAACTTGTGAGGTGAGACCCTCCACACTTTGTGTAGTGGCCTGGAGCTGAGTGTCTCGGGCTTGTTCTCCGTTCTCTACCGCTGACACCCTCTGCTGCAGGGCCTTGATGTCAGCTTGTGTTTCCTGGAGGTCTGACATACACATTTTTTTCAGATCTGCCAGTAGTTTTTTTTTATGTCTCCCTTCATGGAAGGGGATGAGTCCTCATCTGAGTCAGTTCGTTGGTATACTCCAGCTGGGTGAGATGAGACGCTAGATTCCTCCTCTTCAGGGGAGTCATCAGAGGCCTCTTGCTCACTGTATTTCTCAGCTGCTGCCTTTGCGGGTGCTGGTGGAGGTGCCATCCCAAAGGATAGCCTTAAGTCCTGTGATGCAGGCCTCTCCATCTGGAGCTGCCTTTTATGCTTGCGCCCCGTCTATGGGATGGTAATTGTACCGGGATCACCCTCTCCGGCGGGGGGGGGGAGGGGAAGGTCACTGGTGGGGTCTACAGTGGACGTTGAGTCTCCAAATACCTTAGCAGAGGGAGCAGCCGTCTCCCGTCTTCCCGCGTGTGGTAGGCCACGACTCGTGCTGCAGCCAAAAGTTCCGGAGACAGCGCTTCTGTTGCCGCTATAGGTACTCTCCGGGTGACTCCCCAGCCTCAGGTGGGTTGACTGGTGGCAAAATAGCTCGGTCCAAGCGATATGTACCCCGTTATTGTCTCGGTTTAGCCGGAGCTCTGGTGAGGTGTGTCCGCTCGGCTCTGTTGTTAGGCTCCGCCCCCACTTAACTTTATTTTAATGCACATACTGTTTAATTTAGAATGTGCACAGGCAGGCTACAACAAAAATGGAAATAAAAGGAATGGAACATATCAGCTATGAAGAAAGGTTAACACATTTAAACCTCTTTCGTTATTATACAAATATATTCGGGGCCAGTACAAACCATTGTGTGGAAATCTATTCACAAACAGGACTTTACATAGGACACGAGGCCATGCGTTTAGACTGGAAGGAAGAAGATTTCCTCTAAGGTAAAGAAAAGTTTTTTTATAGTAAGAACAATAAGGATGTGGAATTCTCCGCCTGAAGAAGTGGTTTTATCAGAGTCCATACAGATGTTCAAACAACAACTAGATGCATAATTGCAAAAACAGAATATTCAAGGATATCATTTTTCAATGTAGGGTAATAGCTTCTTGATCCAAGGATAAATCTGACTGTCATTCTGGGGTCAAGAAGGAATTTTTTTTCTAGTTTGTTGCAAAATTGGAAGTGCTTCAAACTGGTTTTTTTTTTTTGCCTTCTTTTGGATCAACAGCAAAATACAAATGTGAGGAAGGCTGAACTTGATGGATGCAAGTCTCTTTTCAGCTATGTAAATATGTCTTATCTCCTGGTCTATTAATAGGCTTCTGTACCCAGCAGGCGCCTCCTGCATGTGATTAAAGATCAATTTACAGACCAAGAGATTAAAAGTAAAAAAAAGTATGTGAGATCTGATTGAAAATTAAACCATTTTTTATTCAGGCTGACTATGTAAGTCACCGCCAGGCCAGGTGTGGCTTGGTCTGCTTGAACAGAAACAAAAGTGAGTTAAAGGGAATATATAGTGTTAGGACTACAAACCATTAATAGCACTATAGAGCCATCTGCCCCTCACCTCCCTCTTGCACCCCTTCCCACCCCAGTACGTAACTGGGTAAACTACCCTTTATTTACTTATCCTATCCCAGCACCGATATCCGTCTGCGCTGGGTTGGTGCTCTGCCCCCTCCAACCTCATCTGACAGGGAAACCTAATGTGCATATGCTGCGAGCACCGTGAGCGTGTTATACTCTCCCCCATAGGAAAGCACTGCCTCAATACTTTCATATGGTTATTTTACTACCGCTGGATGTCCTCATGTGTAAGGATTTCCACCGTCAGTTAGGGGACCTAAAATCTGGTAAAATCCGGAAGCACCTCTAATGGTTGTCTTAGCACTGTCTTTCTTAGCACTGCAGTGTGTAAACATGTTTTGCATTGCAGGAATAAGTGGGACAGGGACATTTCACTAAGACTAGTACAATGAGCTGAAGTGGTCTGGGTGCCTATAGTGTCCCTTTAATTCGTTAATGGCAGAGAATTAGGCAGTGAGATTGCAAGGGTATCATCGATATACCAAAGTGCTTTATTAAGCGCAAATTGTTTTGATGCCTGTAGTATCCATTTAAGCATACCTCCCAACATTTCAAATGGACAAAGAGGGACACTTTAATTTTAGGGTGTGGGAAGGAGTGTGTCCATGGACTGGGCTGTTCCAGGAAATTTTTTGGTGATTTACTAATAACAATTTATGCAACTAAAATGTAATTTATAACAAGAACAATGTATCTCATTTACACATACTGATTTCTAAAACATTTATTATAATGTGTTGAAAGACACATTACTGTGAGTATTATTGCTGCGGAGGTCTGTCATACACTCTGACACACGAACAACATGGAGCTCCTAGAAAAGAGATACATTAGGATAGAAACGAGGACAGATAGATCTCCTAAACAGGGACACTTGGGATGTAACATTTAAGAGCAGGACAAGCACCAATGCCAACCACACACAACAGGGAGTTTATTTACTAAACACTGAATTGTACTGAATTCAAAATCAAATTACAAAATTTAGGCCATTACCGCTGAAAAATTCTCAAAATCTGTTCTAGTTACAGCTTTGTAATATTAGCTCACATTTTAGCTTTCAATATTTACTGACTAAAGCCACAAGAGCTTTAAGAGTCAATCAAACATCATCAATTAACTAGTTACACAGGTAAAATTTTACTCAACTCTAAGCATACATACAGACCCTGAAGATAAACCACTTACTACTTTCTATCAAATATAATTCAGATACATCTTATATTGGTGTCTGAGGTCTTTGACTTAAATAATCTTATTAAAAAATTAAGTGACACCTTATTTGAATAATGATGAAAAATTATAATAGAAAGGAAAATATGCCAATCTTCTATTCTAAGAAGAGGCACAGGCTACTGTCTAATGCTTATGATCTTTAATTAAGGCCATCGATATATGGTTTAAAAAAAAGGCTTACACATGAATCATTAGATACAGTATTTTGAAATCTTGCTTTACCTTACGGTCATTTTAAGATCTCTAAATGTAGCCACTACTTGAACATGTCAAGTAAAGACATTTATCAGAGTTTTTTTTTTTTTCTATATCACAATTGTTGGGATGACAGCCTCCAACACAGAAAACTGTCAGAGCTTCAAGTGATAATTTTAATTAAACAAACCATTGCTTGCTCATATGAAAATAACATTGATGTGTTAAGATTGCTGTTTAAAGCTGATTTATGGAAAGAAAATTTTAGTGACAGTCTCACTTTAATTGTAATATCTTTAGAGCTCATGCTCTGACTAACTCTTTCTAGTCAATGTCTTTTTGGCTTGGACAATGGTGACATGTAGCTTTTACAAGATTATTCACAGTGAATTTCAAATTTAAGGTGAAAAATAGCTAAACTGGAAAATATCTCTAAATCATCTATGCTTTCAGTACGGCTACCTTAAAGGGACACTATAGGAACCCGGAGCATGCCATCTCATTGCAGAGGTCTGAATGCAGTGCCCCTGTCCCCTTAGCCCTGTAATGTAGAACATTGCAGTTTAAGAGATACTGCAGTTTATATTAAGGGTTAAGACCGCCTCTAGTGACTGCCTACCAGACAGCCACTTGAAGCCGTTTGACTGAGTTTAACTCTGTGAAACGACGCTGGACGTCCTCAGGCTTTGAATGAGGATGTCCAGCATCTTCTAAATTCCCACAGGTGAGCATTGAAACAATGCGTTCCAAGGGGGAAGGCCAAATGCATGTGCAGCGCTCGTCGGAATCAGGTACTTGCTCCTTAGGTTTTGAAATCACTGTGACGCTGGCAGAGCCCCATCCAGCGCTGATGTCGCTGGAATCAGGTACTTGAAAAAAAAGAGCTGTTACCCTTTATTTCATGCATGCGGTGGTAGGGCACATCAATTGCTTCTCATAGAGGAACATTGGGATACAAGGTCCATGTTTAACAATCACTGTTATTGAAACCAATGCTTCTCTATGAGAATCACTGACTTCAGCTTTGAACTACAGTTCTAGGTGAGTGAGGGAGGCACTTTATTGACTTTCTGCCTGAGAGGAAGAAGGTGTAACTAAAGGGATTCATAAAAGCAAAGATTACACTTGAAATCAGCACTTTTATAAAACAAGTCTGTAAAAACATATAGTTAACCACTAAAGCACTCCAGAAAGCTGAAGTGCTTTAGGGGACTGAAGACTCCCTTTAAAGGGAAACTATGAGCACCATAATCACTGCAGCCCTGCCGTTGAGGGTCATCACATTAGCTAAGAGTGTCAAATGAGCACTCTCAGTCAATGAGTGCCTACCTGCACCTCTGGGGACTTAGCTTCTGGGACAGAGGAGGAGGAGACCAAACCCCGGCCAGTCCCCACGTAAGCTGTCACACAGTTCTCAAATAGTTTGACTACTTACCCTGGCACCATGACAACTAGAGAGTGGTGTAATAGATATGGTGCTTGCACTGTTTCTTTAAGGAGTGATTAATGTGGTCTTTAAAGGGTTATTCAAATTTAATTTATAAGAAAAAAAAACCTTGTATTTTCAGTCATATGCCATGTACTTCTAGAGGAAAGTGTTAAATATCTGTTGGGCAATTAAACCCACTTGCTATAAGCCATGTTATATATTTAGAGTTTTGTGGATTTTTCTGCAGAAGCCCTTGTTCTCTGCAAGCTGCAAATCCAGAATGACAAAGCCTTTATTCTGGAAATGCAGTGATCTAAATTACTGAGTTTCTGTTTTCTCCCTATCATTAAACCATCATTAAACACATAGTAACAGCGAGAATGAAAGGTGGTTACAAGCAGATCTGAGAGGCTCTTGATCAGCGGCCTATTTTCTCGTCTGTATGAAGATCATATATATTATTATACGATTTAACGGAAACGTAATCATCAGAACCACCACAACTTTATGTAGTTGTTCTGGTGTCCATAGCATGTCCCTGCAGTGTTAGTACTTTAAGGTAGTGCTTACATTGCTGGTTAGTAACACCTCTAGAGGCAATCACTCAGATGGCCACACAAGTTCTTCCTATCTCAGTGCTTGTAGGAAATCAAATATTCTTCTATAACTGATCCAGCATTCATTTCTGCAGTAATTGAGCATTTGATACATACCATTGGTGTAAGCCAGGGATAGGCAACCTTTGGCACTCTAGATGTTGTGGACTACATCCCCCATTATGCTCTTATACTCATAATGCTGGCAAAGCATCATGGGAGGTGTAGTACAAAACATCTGGAGTGCCGAAGGTTGCCTATGCCTGGTGTAGGCTCTTGATTACAGTATAGCACTTCCTGTTTAGAATTCTTATAGGTTGCAAAACCAGGAGGACCCTAAGGACGTTTTTTTTTACGAACTAAACGTTTTACTACCTGGGACCAATATTGTTTTATTATATTTTGTTTTCTATTCTTTATTTCTTACAATAAATGGTTTTATACTTACCTGGATTGCTCAGCTTGAATCAATATTCATGTTGGCTTTTAATAATAATTTCATCTGCCCACTGATTATAGGCAATTTTAAAAAAAAATGTTTTGTCAAATAATCGTGCACAATTTATTAAGTACTCTAAGTACCCCTATAGACAAGGCACCTCTGACAGTGTGCGTTCACCGGACCTGAGAACTATGCTACTCTTTCTTAATGTAAGAAACCCTTTTAACTTTTAAACCAGAAAATTGTGAGAAATGTGCTTTGCTATCATTTTAACCATTTAACCAGATACTGACATTTGATCATCTGTAGCTCTAAGACAGTCTTATAAATTATGTTTTGTTTGGTGTATAATCAATTAATCAGTGTCGGCCAGTGCATGAAGGCATGACAAAAAGATTTTACCAATCAAAACTTTTCTTTCTGTGGTAATTCATAAAAGCAAACAGACTTAAAACCGTGTAAAATTTCTGCATCATATTTTTTTTTTTTTTTTGTCTATAACTGTACTAGGTATACAAAGAAAAAACAAAAAGTTCCCTGGTTTTTTTCGGCAGTTTTTTTGCTTCCAGTGATCAGTACCTGTGATTTTGATGGACAGTGCCCCTTTATTGAGATATTATAACGTTAAATGAAGTAGAACGAAAAACAAGGATATATTTGTGTACAGTTGAATTCCCTGCACAGCTGTGTATGTGACGCCTAACAGATGTGCTATCATAAAGATTTGCACAACTCTTTAAACAGATGCCCTTCTGCTACATATTATCAAACAACTGTTCAGAATTCCCCAGGCCCCGTCAAAATGATATGCTTTTTATCGTATCATTAGTTATAAATATACATATATATATATCTCATTTTCACAGTTGGTGATGTCACACATCTATTAAAAACCATAATGATTGGCATGACTGATACTATGCAGTGTGGTGGATCCAAATCTCATAGCAGAAAGCAGAAATTGCTGAGAATTACATACCTGAGAAGCAGATTTTCTTCATAGTTGCTTTCCTTAAAGGACCACTCTAGGCACCCAGACCACTTCAGCTTAATGAAGTGGTCTGGGTGCCTGGTCCAGCTAGGGTTAACCCATTTTTTAATAAACATATTATTTATTAATGGGTTAAGCCTAATATTTAAACATATTATTTATTAATGGGTTAAGCCTTCCCCCTATTCCCTCTAGTGGCTGTCTCATTGACAGCCACTAGAGGCGCTTGCGTGCTTCTCACTGTGATTTTCACAGTGAGAGCACGCAAGCGTCCATAGGAAAGCATTGTAAATGCTTTCCTATGAGACCGGCTGAATGCGCGCGCAGCTCTTGCCGCGCGTGCGCATTCAGCCGGTGGGGCATAACGGAGGAGGAGAGGAGGCAGAGAGCTCCCCGCCCAGGATATATAAGAGAGAGTTTTTACCCCTTTCCCCCTTCCAGAGCCGGGCGAGAGGGGGACCCTGAGGGTGGGGGCACCCTCAGGGCACTATAGTGCCAGGAAAACGAGTATGTTTTCCTGGCACTATAGTGGTCCTTTAACTCAATACCTCTCCCTTTAGTGATATGTAGGAAGAGGAGCTAGGGAGATCTCTGTCTATAGTGGAATATCTTTACTGGGAGAAGGACTACATTTTATTTAAGACACAGAAGTTCATATTGTGCTGCCCTTTTTCTTCTTATTTTTTACTTTTCTTAATTTTTTTACTTTTCTTATTAATTTTCTAATTTACTTTTCTTAATATTTTTAATGTAAAAAAATAATAAGACATAGTAATGCAAGTAACATTATATACATAGCAACACATCAGCCAATCGGACCAAATCCTAAAACAGGCAAGAACCAGATATCACGTTAACTGCCGCATCATCAGCTAAGTACTAGGATCTTTTGTCTCACTGGGTTTCACTCTTTGGGTTCTTTGGTCTTTTGTTTATTATTGGTGCCGTGTGGTCTATTCAGGGTCTCCTTTTGTTGGGACTCAATAGTCATAGACAGGGCATCACTGTAATGTGCTATATTATATTTACTGTTATTCCAGTATTGCTCTGCTTACCTGTAGTGTGCTAGTGTGGCTTATCTTTCCTGTCTCTCTTATATATCTGTTTGCTGGTAGGTCTCATCCACCTCTGCCAGTGATTTTCTGTTTCCCCTTGGCCCCTTTCCGCCTATTTGTCTCTTTTCAGTGTTCGGATGGCTTTCGACCTACCAAACATTGCACAAGCATATGCGATCCCGTGTTTCAGGAGTTGCGATGACCATCTTTTTCGTGCTTACCATTGCTTGCGGTGGCCATTTTTTCAGTGGATATGCTCTCATTTTCCTTGGTCTGCTCCCTCTGACTCCACCTGCATTCTTGGACCTCTTGCAAAAAAAAGCCATTAAGCTCTAATGCTCTGACGAAGACCAAGAACTCCTCTAAATAAAGAACTGATAAACAGTTTCACACCTGTCACTGATGGTGTGCAACACACATAACCACACAAAAGATCCACTAGCCATGCAAAATCCACTAGACTTTGGAAAAGAGCAAAAGCCCATACCCATGCGTCTGATGAGTCCTATTTGGGCCCTTTTGAGGAGCATAGTGTGAATGAATCTGATAACGCAGATGCTAACCCACCCACTTCCTCATACAACCATACTGGTGAGAGATCATTGGATACTAAAGTAGCATGGCCTCTTTCAGAGAGGATGGTAGGATCCAGGATCTGCAGGGCAAAACCCTTGTTTTACACAGATGACCTGTGCCATCCTCGATCAGCGGAATCTTCACCTATACTGGTAAACCCTCTGTTCCGGACTCAAGGCCAACATGAGTCACAATTCAGTTGGTGCACCCCTTTTTTCCTTACAATTGGTGGGAGGACGGCTGATCCTTTTCCCCCATGTATGGCCTTTTATTACTTCAGATGTTTGGATTCTCCAGGCGGTGAAAGGGTATTGCATAGAATGTGTTGCTCTGCCTGTTCACCATTTTCACCAACATTGCTTTTCCCCACAGGACGCTGACATGATTTCCAGAGAGATGGTAGAGTTGACAGACAAGGATGCTATTCAGAAAATCCCGCTGCATACCCTGGGATTCGTGAGCAACCTGCTTTTGGTTCCCAAAAAAGGTGGAGGCACTTGCCCTGTGATTAATTTGAAGCTGCTCATTGCACATGTGTCACACCATCACTTCAAAATGGAATGGATCCATTGCCTGCGAGATCTACTCCTACCTTCGGATTGGATGTCCAAACTGGATCTTAAGGACATGTACCTCGTGGCACCTATCATGGAGGACCACCGCAATTACCTTTAGTTCATGTGGCAAGGAAAAAAGTGGTGGTTCACATGCCTTCCTTTCAGACTGTCCTCGGCCCCTTGGTGTCTTACAAAGTTGATGAGGCCTATAGTTGCCTTCCTGAGAAGTCGAGGTGTTTGTCTCATTATCTACCTCAAAGACATTATGATCATGTCACTGTCCGCTCAGCTTCTTCATACTCATCTTTCCTGGACCATAACTCTACTACAGGATCTGATTTTCTGATCTTCTACAGTATCAATTATCTGGGAAGTACACAATCCAAAGTTCTGGCGAACATAGGTCGAGATGTTCTCTTTTGGACGTCAAAACCACGGTTGTCCCACTTATGGAGATGGCCATCAAAGACTTCTAATGGCTGTCATCTCCCAGCTACTGGATGAGAATGTGAACTCTGATGCATTGATCCATTAGGATCAGCTTTCACTTCTAGTTTGGTTGATTTCCAGGGACCCTGGATTATCGATGGAGTTCTGCAATCAACTCTCCAACTTCCACAACCACATGGGGAACCAGAACAAGGCATTCTTACAGATCTGCTTGGAATGCATGGACTGGTTGGTGCCAGGACCAACATCTGGATTCCTTATCGGCTACTCTAACTTCAGTTCTTCACTTCTTAACTGCCATTTTTGATAATTGTAGGGCTTATCACAAAGTTAATCTATATCGTTCAACTATCTCGGCAGGTCACCAAGGTATAGATGGTACCCCAGTAGAGTGACATTATTTTGCCTGTTGACTTCTTACAGGTATCTTTTTTGCGAGACCTACCAAGTCTCAATACTCGTGCTTATTAGATGTTAATCTTGTGTTGTCTTTAAAGGAATCTTTGCCTGGCAACAGTTGTCACTGAAGCAGATTTCTGCTAAACTAGTTATGCTTTATGGCTGATCTCTTGTAAAAGGGTTTCTGATATCCAGGCTCTGGTTGCAGATGCTCTTTACTCTACACCGGAAGGCATCTCCTTTGATTTTTCTCATAGGACTAAGATTTCTTCCTGATCTTTTTTTTTTTACCCTTCATTTCCTTCAAGATCTATACTTTTCCCGTTATGTTATGTCTTCAGAATATACCTTACAAGAAATTTACCTCAAACCTTTTAATCATTTTTCAGAGCAAATTAACTCTCAGATTTAAACGAGCATAGTATGACCCTCTGTGTCTTTAACAGTATCATGATGTAAAGTCATGATTTTAGTAATGACACAGAAGTGAGTATTATACCCTCTCTCCCATCTGGATTTATGTTTCTCTGTTTTCATTTGTTACATTTGCCATTTTAACTGTGGTGCTTGTATTTGTTTTATAACATTTAATAGTTGGTCATGATATTTTATTCTATATTTACTATGTGATATTACCATATTGTGTCTTTTCTTCTAGCTTAAATCAGTTCTTGGACATCTACTCCATCCGGATGAATCCTGTTGTCTGACATGGTTCCCTATTTTTCTTTTTTTAAAGTTCGTTATACATTTCCGTCAGGTTTTTTATCTCAAGAAAAAGGGAGTTGATGTGTGGTTCGATTGGCTGATATGTTGCTATGTTTATGTTGTTACTTGCATATTATGTGCATATGCAAATATTACAAGTTTTTAGAATGAAAAGTTGTATTTCTTAAATTGTGTTATTTATCTTTAAGAGGTTTTGCAAACTGACAAGTTGATAGAAATAAAACATGTTGATTCTAATACAATGTTTCTTTAATAAATGACCTCTGACCCAAGGTCAGTGAATACGATGTTTAGAGTAGACTTTAAGACGCCATCTTGTCCTAGATTACTGTGACACCAAGTCAGGGAATTTTCCATATCATGTCCAACCTAAGTTTTAGTCTAAACATAGATAAGATGTCTAGGTCATGATAATAGACTGCTTAAGATGTTCCCATGTGAAATAACCAAGTCAAGGCTGTGTCATTTAATGCTCATGGCCTTGAATTTTTTCTAGTTAAGGTAGGTCGTAACATTTCCTAATTGTAAAATCTCAGGTATAAATATGTGTACTTATTAATGTTAGAAGGACAGAGGAAAGAATTTTGGATGCAGAGATGCTGCTCCATTTTAACATGACTGAGAGGTTGACTTAAGGGGACACTATAGTCACCAGAACTACAGCTTAATGAATTTGTTCTAGTGAGTAGAATCATTCCCTCCAGGCTTTTTGCTGTAAACACTGTCTTTTCAGAGAAAATGCAGTGTTTACATTACAGCCTAGTGATAACTTCACTAGCCACTCCTCAGATGGCTGTTAGAGATCCTTCCTGGGTCATGGCTGCCTAAAATGTATCCATTCAAGTATCTCCTCCCTCTGCATGCAGGCACTGAACTTTCCTCATAGAGATTCATTGATTCAATTCATCTCTATGAGTAGATGCTGATTGGCCAGGGCTGTGTTTGAATTGTGCTGTCTCTGGCCCTGATCTGCCTCTTTGTCAGTCTCAGCCAATCCTATGGGGAAGCATTGTGATTGGATCAGGCTACCACTTCTGATGATGTCAGCAGACTGCTTGTTTTTTTGTTTTTTTTAGGCAAACAGCATGCAGATCTACAGCTTCTGGCTTGAATACAGTAAGATGTTCCTATATTTATAGAGGCATGAGGGGCCCAGGGTGGCTAGATGGTGGTTTTAACACTATAGGGTCAGGAATACATGTTTGTGTTCCTGACCCTATAGTGATCCTTTAAGAGGGTATGTTATTCTATTTTACTGATATTGCAAGAATATACTTTAATCTTATTAACTCTGCTATAAATTATTGTAATGGATTATTAAGTTTTTATGTCTATATTTATCATTTTATTTAATAAAATATTTAAAAGACAAATCTTTATTGCTTCCAAGACAAACCCTATTTTATTGTATTCTCAGTTATTTATATATATTAAATAGAGGATCTCTTACTGACTATATAATATTATATCTTAGATATCTGTATGGTTAGCCCTGCTAAATTCTATGCTTTAAGACTTTATTTTAGTAAATAGTTGCGGTTACATTGTCTCGTTATTTTTTTCATTATTTCAATTGTTCTTTCTTTGCTGCTGAGGAAAAGAAAGAAAGAGTGCAGCATAATACTCGCCTCCATGCCATTAATAAAATCATCACTTTATGTCATGATCCTAGTAAAATCTGGAAATGAAAGAGACACTAAGGTCACCATAACAACTTCATCTAAAATAAGTTGCTACAGTGCCAGCAGACCTCCGGACACTCTGTTACCCTAGGGGTTAAAAAGTTCTCAAGCAGTTTAACTCCTTTGATAAAAAGAATCACACTTTTTTTTTTTTTTTAAAATCAAAGGGGAGCTATTGATTGGCTTAGAGCAGAGGTAGGCAACCTTCGGCACTCCAGATGTTGTGGACTACATCCCCCATAATGCTCTTACACCCATAATGCTGGCAAAGCATGAATTATACAGGAAATAATAAAAGCAAAACACATGATATAGGATGACTAATTACAAACATGCATAGCCACACATTAAATTTACTAAGTACGCCAAGTTAAAAGATATAATGCATTAATGAGGTTCTGTCAGCTAGCTTTTAAAAACTAAAAAGCATTGCCAGCATATTGCACTCTCGTTAAATATCACAAGAGTTAAACAAACAGCAATAATACATTTAAACCGGATGGCTTGGGATTCTATTTTAAATAATACTTCAGAAAAAGGAATTCCTCATAACCTTTTACAGCAGTTCAGTAACAATAACAGTTTAAGTTCAACAGTTCTGAATAAGTATAGCCTCTATAGAGTGATTCATAAATTACCTCTGTGGGGCAAAGTTCTAAATGTAGAGTAATCACCATGGTAACTAATGGAATGTTCCTGCTGATTGCTCTTTTTGTAGAAATCTGCACAATAACTTCTCTTTATAAACAATCCCTGTGTGTGAAGTGTTCGTAGGATTTAATATTGAAGGTGATAAATAACATCTACAGAACAAAAACATTATAATGTTCTACTAAGGAGCAATACATCACTACCAATAAGCCAGATATAAGAATCTTTTATGGCTTTTTTTGGAATTTAAGTGGTTTATAGTTTGTAGAAGCCAGGGAATTAAGATATATTTATTCTGCTGATGATTGGGATTATAACAGCAGATAATTGCTATACGCTCTAACATGAATAATGAAAGGAATTGCTATATTTGAGTAAGTGGGGCATTTAACAAACCAAGCAGGTGTATTCATAATAACAGCATTTAATGCACACTTTGGATGTTTTTAAAAGAAGGAAATGGGTTGATTTGGGAGAGATATTTGACTTTCGGTTTATTTTTTTTATTTTTTTTAATCTAGCAAAGACACACACATGTATCCTAGAAAGAGTAATAGGTTTACAATCACATAGGTGGGCATCCAGAATGAAGACAGCAATGTAAGAGCAGCAAACACGCTGTTTACTGGTTTGATATCTGTTAAACATCTTTACATCATGCAACTATAACATGCATAAATACTATTTGGCACTTGATGGGTTAAACTAGAAGGACACTAGACACACAGAACGCATTTGGGGTGTAAACAAGATCTGGCAGTAAGGTAAAGGGAATTCCCTCTATCCAACCTCAGCAGCCCCTGTGTGCATATATTTCTCCATCCTCAGCACCATTCGCATCCCACTCTGGAGCACAGCATCTCCATGCTCCCTGGAAGCCCCTGCCAAGGCAAACCACACAGCCCTGCAACATGCTGCTAGGGGGGTCGTCACCATTAACCCCTTGGTTTCCATTGAATGGTGCAAGCAGTACATTGCTATGGGATCGACTTGTTCACCTACAGACATGCTGTCTCTGCACAAGCATATCAACACCTCCATGATAGCCCATCACCTGCCCATCCCTACTCCAAAACCTCTCCCTCCTGTCAATTTACACCACGCACACCCTGCTGCGTGGGGGAATCTTTTTTAAGGTGGGGGGGGTCTTACCTTTGGGGTTCATGGATGTGCGTGTGGTCTGCAGAGCGCTCTGCCCCCCGGCTGTTAGTGCTTTGCTTCTCCCTTCACTCTGCAATGCAGGCAGCGCGCGTGCGCAGCGCTCAGATTGTGTGTGCCATCCACTGCTGGGAGGAGGAATGGGTCCAACAGGGAAGGGAGGTGGGAGCTGCCCCCCAGATTAACCCTAACACTGCCAGCAACACATAATTTACATGTATGACAATGATATTAAAATGCATGAACATTAGGGATATAATTTCCCTCTGTATCCCACAGAAACATCAGGCTATTGGGGTGCCTGCAATTAAATGGCCAATTAATAATGCAGGTTATTCCTCTTCACTATGATGGGCAGCACTTCATTAGTGCAATTTTGTTGAATGTGGAATTCATAATCTATGTAACCTCCAAAGATATCAATTCAGATCATTTCCTTTGGGAATCTTGAGCTAATTTATTTCTTGTACCATATGCATTGTATAGCTTACAGGGCAGCTCTCTTCATATAAAACCCATCAGCAGGAAGACAGGTTAGTCTCCATGAATAGATAAACCAAAATGTTGCCCTAAATCCAACACTGCTGGGATGTATTCATCAATATTTAGCGTTTCCATATTTAAAGGCACAACTGGAGCAATTCTAGAGGAATTTATATGTTAAATGTGTATGAAAAATCTGTAAGCTTAATTTTTCCATGATAATTGCTCCAAATGCATAATTTTACTTTTAGTATTGCTCAGTGCTGCTTTGATACATGGATTTAGTATATTTGGTGGCTTCTCATACTAACATGTGCATCATCTCTAAAACAAATGAGAGGATACATGTCCATTATGCCATTCTATTAGATCACAAATAACTGGGCACCAAATTCTCCAAAAGCAGGAAAGGCCATTATAGATGGAGTTAAGAAGGTATGTTGCTAGATTCTAGTAAATCAAATTGATTTCAATTTTTAATTAATATCAAGCTGTCTTTTTAAAATTAAACATTTCAATCAATATACCACATTTTGAAGGACCCTCAGGGATGAAGTTGACCAGAATGGGAATGGTTTATTCAATAAACAGTGAATTGCAGTATTTTTAAAACTATATTGCATATAGGGCAAAAAAGATGAGATTAAAAACTCTCCAGCCTTGCCTTAGTTGCAGCCAATTTTAGTTTGTATATTGCAATTCATTTTTCACTCTTTTTCTGCCCTCCTTCCAAACTTCTAAATTATGTGTAGTGAAATCTAATTGGTTAAAATATTCTATCTCTTGGGTGAATGCCATCTGGCTTTGGGACTTTGCTTACATTCACTTTAATGAAGTGCTGTAAAACATTGCCTTGTGTCATTTAATTACATTTGTTGTGAGTTTTTTATATCAGTGATTTGCATATCTAAAGCCACAGGTTCTTCTATGATAAATACAGAAGAAATAAAGTGTTCACAAGTTCTGCTTTTCTTTATCTTCATACACTAACATTTATGACCTGCAGTTTCATTCTTGAGTTTTCAGAATGTATGTATTTAAATAAACCTTTTGGAGCAGCGTTATAACAAATATTTATACGCAAGGGTTGTTTGGTTTCTTTCATACTTATTTTAAGATATTATACTTTACCATGCTCCTCCAAGATATTCAACTAAATTGGAAGTGTACTTAAAGGGGATTATAATGCCATAATAATATCATCTAATCATAATAAGGGTTTTTACTGTTTTAATACCTTAAATTCAATTCCAGTCATGTCATTATTAGCTCTAGTTGCAATTGCACGTAGTTCTACTACCAAAACATGCAAGAAATGTGAGAGGAGGCAGCCTTGTCTCGTGCTGTTAATTAAATGTATTAAAAGACCAAAGAGCAAAAACGTGATAAGATACACAAACTGGTGGATTGGTATTCATCTTTGCTCTTCCATGCCCTATCCAGAGAAACTCTCTTACCCTTACCCTATGTCTCCGCCGTATCCCTAATGACTCTTTTACCCAAAGTCCTCTTCTCTACCCTAAACTCTTACGCTAACACCAATCTTAAACACTCTGTAACGCAATCGAAACATTAGCACTCCCTGTAATCCTATACAACCATTTAACCATATCCCTAAATTCCATTGTTTTCTTAACCATTATAAAGTCCTATTATAATAACCTTTACCCTAAACATACCCTAAAACTATCACAAAGTTCTATTCTATTTCAACCTATAACACTAAATACTTGTTTCTCCCAGTCTACAAGAAATAGTAAAGCTTTGTATATCCTAGTAGGGATGTGCATGGGCAAAAATTTGGTTCACTTCTCAAATTCGGGTAAGTAAAAAAGTTTGTCTGCCTCGGCAATTTGGTCCAATGGCATTCGGTTCGGTTTGGCACTTCCGAAATTCGGGACTTTGGCAATTCGGAACTTCAGCAGTTTGGAACTTCGGCATTTCGCCGATTCAAAACTTCGGTAATTCGGACCCTAACGCTAAGCCCTAACCCTACTCCTAAACCCTACCCCTAACCCTTAAACCCTAACTAAAAAACCCTATCCTAACCCACTTCGGAACTTCTGCAATTCGGAACTTCAGCAATGCGGAACTTCTGCAGTTCTGTTCGGCACGTCGGAAATACAGCACTTTGGCAATTCAGAAATTCAGCAATTTGAACTTTGGACATTCGTAAGCATCCGAATGTCTGAATTGCACAAAATTTATCTGAATGTACATTCAGAACGAAACAAATTGTACATGTCTATATCCTAGCAACTACACAATCTCAGGTTTTGGATGACAGTGTGGCCCAGGATCCAATTACTGGTTTTAATCTTCTTCAATGAACAGGGGAAATACTGGCCCCATAGTTGCAACAAAAGAAACTGCATAAAAGGAAGAGGTTGGGTGTTTCTTTAAGATATTCCTCCCTACTGGACGAAGTATATAATAAGGTACGTAATAGAGTATATTTTCTCCCCACTGCATGTAGTATATGATAAGTTAAGTAAAGGAGGACTTTGCAGAGAGAAGACCATTGCCAAGAGGTAATTACTAAACAGTAGACAAGCATAATTTCGGCATGAATATCCAACATTAGAGCCAGGTATAGATGTGGCATTGTACCTCGCTGTGAGGGTGAACATGAATTCCACCGACCAAACAGATTTGAAAGACTGGAGCATACAGAACCAGCCCTCACTTCAGTAAAGAAACATGGTAGAAGAAAGGTGGACAGAGCGAAAGGAAAAAAAGAGAGAGTGCGCATTCAGAAGGTAGGAAGAGTACTATAAAAGAGGGGAGACAGCATTGGAGTGATTGTCTGGCAGTGCATCTTGGCATCCATGACTGCAAATATGATGACTACTCCCCTATCTGCCTTTGTTTCCAATCATACCTATCTGCAATTCCATCATATGGACACATCAGTCTCTCGGTATAAGAAGATGATAACCACCTATACATTGAATACTTCTAATTCTCTTAATCTAATTAAATCGAAGAAAAAAAACACCTTATCTCCCTTGGTTAAGTCCTGGTCCTGGTTACTGGCAGTCAAGGTCTTCAGGGCAATTACAGCTTTAAGATTTAAGCATTCTGAGAAGACTGAATATGTCAACTAGCATGTAACGTTTTCTTTGAATGCTTCTTTATTTCTTCTATCATGCTTCTTCAGTTGTCTCTTTGCTCTACCTCGAATTTCCCTCGATTTTTCTTTCAACTTTTCGAAGTACAGAATTCCAAGAATTTTATGTGTCTAGCTGACCTAGCGTCCTACAAAAAAACTATTGTAAAATTTGTATTTTTAATTTTTTTTTAATATACCTAAATATATAAAATCACCTATTACATACATATGGGTTGGTTAGAGTGGTGCTAACATCACTGCTTTAGAACTAGGGAAGGGAACCCACCTTCAAACCCTGATAAGACCACTTCACCAGCAAGTGGCCCTAGTCAAGATACCCAATATATATCTGCCTACCTCGAATTCTCATAGATAAAAGCTTGTTTGAGCAGGATCTCCATTATCTCTTTCCCTTTCTTTAATTGTAAAGCACTACAAAATATGTTGGTTCTATATAGTATAATTAGTATATTAGTATTCTAATAATACTGTTAAAGGATCACTATAGTGTCAGGAAAATAAATCGTTTTCCTGACACTATAGTGCCCTGAGGGTGCCCCCACACTCAGGGTCCCCCTCCCATGACGCTGAAGGGGTTTAAACTCCTTCAGCAGCTTACCTTAATCCAGTGCCGGGCTCCCTTCGGCCCTGGTGACCTCTCCTCCAAGTCCGTCGTCAGCTCCCCCGTCCGACGTCGGCGGAGCTGAATGCATTCTGCGCGTGCATTCAAAGTGCATTCAAAGTGTCCATAGGAAAGCATTTCTCAATGCTTTCCTATGGACGCTCTGCGCGATGTAGGTGAAATTCACCTCCAGCGTCGCAGATGCGCCTGTAGTGGCTGTCCGGAAGACAGCCACTAGAGGCTGGATTAACACCAAATGTAAACATTGCAGTTTCTCTGAAACTGCTATGTTTGCATCTGAAGGGTTAAAACCTGAGGGACCTGGCACCCAGACCACTTCATTTAGCTGCTCATCTGATCAAATGGCACTATCCTTGCTTGGACCTAGTGCACACTTTCAAGCTGGAGAAGCTCACAGTAACCATAACAATCGCAGTGTCACACAATGAAATACTGTACAGCTTCATGGTTTGGGCTTATTTCTGGGTACGATCGTGCAAATAGGGTGATATCAGGTAAGAACGCATCTAATTGAAGATCACATTAAACAGCTTATTCACAACAGTAGGTGATTTTATACATATAGGCATAATAAATAAGCATATAGACTAAAAAGAAAATGAACTTTTATTGGTAAAGTAATTACAATGAAATCTATTTTATTTTAATGACATGCCTTGATACAGGACACTTTACACCATGGGATGTCTATATTATGCCAATGTTCTTATTGTTACAATTATTCTTTCTGGTGTGCATGCTGCATTGTATTGTGTTTTTCTGATTATATGATATGTTTAGGTTTTCTATAGAAAACAAAACATTTATATTAAGGAATTGTTTTTAACTC